AGCAATAATATTTAAATGCAAATTTCGATTTTGTCTATCTGAAATTCATATTACTCTGAAGTTTAGATATATTGTAACTTTATATACAAAAAAACTTTTTGAGCACAAAGAAATTCTGCAAAATACGTTATCCCTACCGCAGGTATAACATGCTGTAAAGTTTTAATTTTGTTTTATCTTATTTAAAGTCCATAGCTTATACAGTAATAACAAATTCACTACATTTTGTATAAAGTTAAAACGAAAGATAAATTAACTTTAAAACAGGCATATTCTACTTTTGTATCTATCTATAATTGTGAATTTAAACTAGCATGTTTTAAAGCTATATTTATCCTTATGTAGTTGAAAGTTATATTTATTTCAACTTTACTTTAAAAAGTGTCACACTTTTTGTAAGGTTACAGCTTTACTACTATTAAAAACCTATTTGAGAGATCACATTACTTAAAACGGGTGTTAACACAGTACAAATTTTTTAATCATCTTAAAATGGTGAGATTAATAATCCCTAAAGAACGCACAAACGATTTATTTACAGTTTATATCCGTTGTACCATCATGACGAGGCTGTTGTTTCTGTTTACAGTATTTCAGATTGGTAAGATAATTATTTATGTAAATTAAAAATGTTAGTACTTGTCAGATTAAAATGCTTACATTTTGCATTCAAAATAGAAAAGAATGTACTTGATTTTTCTAAAACTGTCAAATATTTCGAAGTACGAGTTTACAGTTTTACAATTACAATATCATAACTTTTTAATATTTTTATATAAAACTATAAAAATTTCAATAACGTTAATACCATAATTTTAAAGTCGATTCTAAAATATGTTTTAACATGGAATGTTCCTGTTATTTAACACTCATGAGTAGGGTATGCCAACTGCCGTTATAGCAATGATTCCGTGCACTCAGTAAGGGAACAAACGTATTTTTGTACAGGTTCTTTGGAGTGGTTTTTTTTCAAAATTAAAGTAGTAAGTTGTAGATATATATACAGATCATTTATTTTAATAAATTAACTATAATAATTCAACCATTTAAAGTGATATTAATTATATATTTATTGAAATAAAAAAAAACCGTTGTCAAGGAAAATAAAGATTTCATACTTTGTAAGTGACAACTCAACAGGAAATATAATTTTGTAGGATTATCGGTGTAGACGTGCTCAGAGTGCGAATGCTGCAAAAATGGAGAGCGTTCTTGTAATTCAAATAAAAATTGTATACATGGATGCATAGCTGGTTATTATGGCAAAACATGCACAGAAAAGTGTCTTGAAAATTGTAGAAACTGTGTTAATGGTAATGAATGTAACAATAAATGTAATTTACTATGTGGGAAAGGTTGTGTTAACAATACATGCTCAGTTTCATCAGGAGAATGTTCTTGTAAATCGGCTATTTTTGTTGATGTGATGTTTGTTTGGGAAATAAGTATGGCGATGAATGTAATAAAACATGCCCTAGTAACTGTGGCTCTTGTATAACAGAAACAGAATGTTCATGGTGTCAACACGCGGTTTATTACGGATCATATTGTCAGTATAGATGCTCTGTGGGTTGTGTCGATGGAAGATGTAATAAAGGCAATGGACACTGTACTGGGGGATGCAAATCTAATTTTGTCGGAGAAAAACGTTACATGTGTTTGCCAGGATTATACGGCCCTTTTGTGATTTGAAATGCACAGACAATTGTTCAGCATGCTTTTCGGAAGCAAATTGTACAAAATGTAAATCAGGCTTTTTTGGAGAAACATGTACAAATACCTGTCCGATTGGTTGTAAAGGAAACTGTTATTTTGCTGATGGACGCTGTCTTGAGTGTAAACCAGGTTTTTTCGGAGACTTTTGTAACATTGCATGCAACGATGAGAAGTACGGTGTTGATTGTTCTAAATTATGTCGTGATAAAGATGTGCATTGCCAAATGTGTATCGTAAATCAATTAGGTGACTATGGTTGTTGCACAAAAATGTATCAGCAATGTTAACGGACCGAGAAGGCTTTAGCGTGGGGACACTGATAGGCTCTATAATTGGATCATTCCTCGCTGGTGGTATTGTTGCAGTGACAACTTTGTTTGCCTTCATAACATTGAGGCGAAGGTTTGTAACATACTTGATATTTTTCGTCATATTTGTATTTAAATTTTAAGATGCCTGCTATTGTTCTGCAGTTATGTTTTATTCATCTTCATAATAACTTGCATTTATATATTCTAAAACAAGATTTAGAGTATCTTCTTTGCTACAAGCTTTTTTCTAAATATTACCATTATTAATTTTTTGTAGATTTGGAAAAAAAGAAGAAACAGAAAACAATTTAGCTCCTGGTAAATATAATATCAGTGGTATATTACAAACTCATTAAAACGTTTTGTTTATCTAAATTAAAATAAAACTCAGGAATATAATTGAGACATGGTTTTCCATCATTTTGGATTTAGTTTAGTTTATTTCCATGAGATAGCATCGTTAAAGTCATTCTAACATATATAATCAAATATCAATAAATTAATTTGATAATATACCCTGATTCGGGTGCTTAGAAATAACGTAAAGACGCCATTTACAAATAAGTTGCGTGATAAGGATGACGTCGTATGTCAATAACGAATCAGATATTCTATATATTTCATACAGATATCACACATGAAGACGGCTCTCCTGTTGCATATGAAGATTTTAATTCACGTGTCGAGATATCATACAGTCAGATCTCTACAAATCAGCAGATATCACGACCAGAAGCTGTTTATGTGAACACTAGGTTTTAATTCTAATATTGACAAATATTCCTTTTAGTGACAAATGATTCCTTTAGTAGTATAAATAATTTGGTTTACTATTGAATATATCAGATGCTTTTCCGGAAGTGAAACTGAAGACAGTGTTTCTACACCATAAATAAAGATGAACACTAAGTACGTTTTCTTATGCTGAATGTCATATGATACAATAAGAATGCACGTTTTTAAAACAATTAAATATCATAATGACACATAATGGAATAAACACTAGCAGCATATTGATTCAAATGTTTATCAACATATATAGCCTCAGGAAATACAGTGAAGCTCACACAACCAAGAATGATAAGCCTTTTGTAGGGTTATTATTTCAAGATAACACGGAGTGATGGCCTCAGAGAATAAAGCTCACACAACCAACGATGATGGGTGTGTTAGAGGTTTCTTATCTTAAGTCAAACAACGGCGATAGCCTGAGGGAAATTAGTTAAGTTCACGTTACCCACAGCAAAATGCCTTTTAGAGGGTTTTTATCGCAACTAAACCAACGCAGATAGACTCAGGGAATGGAGAAAAGCTCAAATAACCAACGGTGATAGCCCCATTTGATGCCTTTTATCGCAATAAACCGTACGGTGAAGTAGTAGGGAATAAAGTAAATTTTACACAAAGCACGATGATAGGCCTTCCACACCACAGGGTTCTTCACACAATGAAATCCACCGTGAAAATACATTGGGAATACCGAAAATATCACACAACTAACGGTTATAGGCTAGAAAAGCGTTTATATCGCAATGACACCCTAGGTGATATAATAGCTTCAGGGAATAACGTAAAACTCACACAACCAACAGTGTTAGGCATTTTACAGACTTTTTATCGTAATAAAATCCTCGGTGATAACCTCAGGGAAGAGAGTTTTGCTTACAAGGCCCACTGTGAACGGCATTTTAGATGATTGATATTGCAATAATACCCACGGTGACAGCCTGAGATGAAAGGAAAGCCTTCATTACTCACGGCGATAGGCTTTTTAGAGTTTCCTTATCTTAATGAAACCCACAGCGATATCCTCTTGTTATGTTTGTTTGTTTCTTTGTTTGTTTGATCTGGTTTTACGTCACACCGACACAGTATATATCATATTGCGACGTTCCAGCTTCAATGGTGGAAGAAGACCTCGGGTGTCCCTCAGTGTAAAATTTTCTGCAAAAACGGGCTTCTGAATAGAACCATCGACTTTCCGCAAGCTAGCTGGATAGCATGATAACATCCAAATAATCCAAAGTCTCTCTCGGGCTTAAACTCATGGAATACACTAAATTCCCACACAACCCAGTTAGCCTTACAGTAGGTTCTTATCGCAATGAAATCCTAGATGAGAGCATCAGGGAATACAATGAAACTCATTCAAACCTACAGTCATAGGTCTTAAAGAGGGTTCGAATCCAATGAAACTACGGATATCGCCTCGTGGAATACAGTAGTGCTCATACAACCTACTGTGATAGGCCTTTAAAAAGTTGCAATCGCAATTAAATACACATTGATAGCCTCTTGGAGTTAAGTAAGGCTAACAAACTCACGGTCATAGCCATTTCGAGGGCTTATTTCGCAATTAGATCCACGGTTATAGCCTCAAGGAATACAGCAAAGTTAACACTACCCACAGCTGTTTAGAGGCTTCTTATTCATTTCTCAAATTCATCCACGGTGATAGCATCGGGGAACATAGTAAAGCTTACACAACACACGGTGATAAGCTTCATTGGTAATTCTTACGTCAAGTTCACCCACGGTGATAACCGAAGGAAATACAGTAAAACTCACACAATCCACAGTGTTACTGCTTTATGAGGCTACTTCTTTAAGTTTACCTATATGCTGATAGGGATTTTATAGGGTTATTTTTTCAAATTCACCCCCGGTAATAGCTACAGGAAACACAGTACAACTTACACATACCACGATTACAGGTTTTAATGGTAATTCTTATCTGAAGATCATCCACGTGATAGCCTCAGAAAATACAGAAAATCTCACACAGCCCATGCTGAAAGGCTTTTTTTTCTTTTCCTTTCGACGAATCTAATCATAAGTTCACCCAATTTGATAGCATCGCGGGGCAACAATAAAGCTCACAAAACACACGGTAATACAAATGTATATAGGCTTTTAAAAGGGTTCTTATCTTAAATTTGCCTACTATGATAACCTCAATTCTTCAAACATTACGTTATCTTTTAAAGACATCAAAACAGGTAAATACTCGAAGTAAAAGTTGTATTGTATTTTGATGTACAAACATAACACAGTTCATAAATATACTAAATGAAAGCACTGCATTGGATAAAATAGTATACATAGCAACGCATATGTTAAGTTTAAGTCCTTATAAGTATATCGAAAAATTAAAACCAAATCAAAACATTTTTTGTTGATAATCGTTCATTTCTTCAATTATATGCATCCCTAAGACATTTGCTTAAATAATAATAGCAACGTTTTTATACAAACAAAATATATATGGTTACAATCAACAGCTATAATCAACAGCTTAAAATTTAAATTGAAATCATCAGGATAATGCGTGTAATAATTTGTATTTACATTTATTAACATTTAATTACATAATTCAAACTGATGAATAGCGCTATTTATAGTTTTATCCTTCCAAACATTATACGGCTAAATAAGATACAATTTAACACACCTGCAATAAAGTGGTAATGATAATTCTATGCTGTCAATCATGCATTTGTCAATAATTCATGTAGAAAAGTAATAATACAATATTTCTATAATGCTTACTAAGAATTAAGTGTTAAAAAGTTCAAATGAAAATTGTGAGAAACATTTTCCTATATAAGTGTTTGTATATTACCTTGTTTGTCACTGATTTATGATTTGTTTTCCAGATGAAGAAAATAAAACATGTATCGGCTGTAAAATGTTACTAGCAATGACTAAGATAACTTTCAAAGCATGACATAGTATGCTCCCTAAAATCTTCACCTACGTTGAACGTTTTTGACATATTTTTTATATTTTATTATTCATAAGATTAACATTCTAACGTACATTACATAAAAAAAGTGTAAAGTATATCACAGAATGTGTACTCATACAAAATGATTAAAGTCTAAAGTACAACTTAACGTATGGAATTCGACTAACAGGTACTTATTATATAGCAATAATGATCAATACTTTGAATTTGAAATTTGTATACAACGTAATTTTGCTGAATATGTAGACTGCAATGTGATTAAAACACGTAAAGTAGTAATGATAGTTTATCATGTAAATACTACATATATTGTCAATGATTAGTGACTGTCTAATTCACAAAAAATCATAGTCATTGTTTACTAGACTGATTTTCTTATCGCTTTTAGTATCATATAATGTATTTTCATGTTTATCCCCATTGTTGCAATTAAATACAGCATAATCGTTGCTTGGACGAGGCATAGTTTTGTAATTCCCTGCTTCTGCAGAGTCGTAAACATCATCTGGTTGTGCCATATTTGATTTTCCGAAGCCTTTAGTGTTGTCAGATCTTATGCTTAGTACGGCATAGTCATTATTACTATTTAAAGGTTGTTTATTCTTTTTGTTGTCATGCGTTGTATCATACATTTCCTCAATACATTCGTTTTCTTTCACAGTCGACTTTCCTTTGTTAACCACGGCATAATCATCGTTGCCACTGGAAGGTTTGTTACTGTGTCTGATGTCACAAACCTCAAAACTCTTTCTTTTCTCATTTGCAGATATTCCTATCTTTACAGCAGTATAGCCATTGTCAATAGCAGGTATTTTTTTATCACCGTCATATGCAGTGTCATATTCTTTCCCGGCATCACCACTAGCTTCCTGTTTTGGTTTGAAAGGCTTGGCGTATATAACACCTGGGATAAACGACATAAAATGAAGTATTATAGATGTTTATAACACAAAAGATACGGAACAAGTGAGCAAATTATCAATATAAAAATGTTATCCCAAACAAGTAATGCCGCTCCACAATCTTTATATTGTTTTCATCAGTAAAAACTGAATCTCTTAATGTACCTTGTCAGATGATATGTCCCAAAGAATAATTATAGAATGTAAAACATAAATATTTAAACACACCTGGTTCGTCTTCGTCAATTTGTTTCGGAATCTCTTTCATATCAAGTACATAATCGTTTTCTTCACATTTTGTATTGGAAGATAATTTTTGTCTGAAAATAAAAAGTAAAGTCTATTTAATTTTTGAATATAAACATAACATTGATTACACTGAACGCGGTATTTTGTCCCTTAAACTTGTCTTGATAATCTGTAAAAAGCTTAGCACCAGAATTTTATTTTCATATTTCAGATTAACCTGAATATTGTAATTTTGACTCGCGTTAAATTTTGCTTTTATCTTACCGTTAGTCGTAATACGACTTAAAAAACATGTGCTTTGTCAAAATTCAAAACTTTCGATGAAAATTAACAAACGTAATAAAGATATATATAGACCTCAATTTCGAAATATATACTCTAACCAATCCAACCATAGTGAGTACCTTCGATTCCGTTTTATAAGACAAATTACTAGGAGCAACAGCAATACTATAACAACAACACCAGCACCGACAGATCCTGCAATAACGACAAGAGGTTTCTTTTCTTCCAAATCGGCACCTTTAATAGCTAAAATAAATAATAAAACATTCAATTGGATTGCTTTCATATGCGTTTTGATCTTTAAAAATGAAAAAAATGGCACAGTCATGCAAGGATTCTTCAAAAGTAATAGGACTGCGGCTTTATTGTTAACATCTTTATAAATTTACGCACACACTTTTATTAGAGACAAATATAGAAACGTCTCCTCTTTTTACTGTGAACAAATCAAATGATGTCATTGGAAAAAATAGTAACTTTTTACTGTGAAAATATGACATTACGGGGTAGAATGATCAAATATATTTAATATCTACATTTACCCAGAACACATTCTAGTCCTTCGTATCCGTCAATACAGCCACGCAAGCATACTGCTGTAACCTGGTTGCAAGTTGTATTGACACATTGACTGCTGCATTTGTTGTCACATTTTTTGCCATAGAATCCGTCTTTGCATCCATACAAACAATTACCCTTAACATCATCACATATGCGGTTGTTTTCATTTGATTGACATGTATCGGTACATTTATTGCCGCAAAACGAACCATAATAATTTAATTTACATCCTTCTGAGCAGTATCCCTTTTTCCAGTCACAACTTTGATTGTTACACGTATCGTTACAATCCCTCTCACAATATGCTCCGTATTTTGTCATTGATAAACATCCCTGTAAACATTTTCCTGTATCTCTTGAGCAAATTCTGTCACTGTCAGTATAATTGCAATTTGTGCTACAGTTTTTTGAGCAATCATCTGCGAATGTCTCAAGAGTGCACTCCAAACATGATCCGTCGATTTGACTACATCTTACACAATTTTTAGAACAATTATTTCTGCATTTATCTCCCCATTTTCCATGCAGGCACCCATTTGTACATCGGCCTGCCATATTACATACAGAGTCTTTACAATTATATGGACATTCTGTACATATATTATGATTATGTCCAAGGTAATTTTGACCAAAACTAACATTTAGGTAAAACCCATCTTCACATTCTGTACAATTTCCAAAGCTATCAAATTCATTTGCAATACAGACCCGGCAATGTATGTCTTCATCACGACACGATTTTAAACAATTAACTCCAAATGTTCCATTTGCACATGTGTCACATAAATCTCCAACAAATCCCGATTTACACTCATTGCATCTACCATCAGCAAGTGAACAATTTCCATAACAACCATATGGACAATCATTTGTACAATATTCACCATAAAGGCCAGATTTGCACTCGGTACAATTTGACGCCGACAGACAAGAAAAACAATTCTCTGTGCAATTGAAATCACAAAAGCGACCGTAAAATCCAGGTGAGCATTTATCACATTTCACTCCAGAAAAACCAGGTTTGCATCCTTTAATACAAGTTCCATAACCTTTATTACATCGTCCGCCGTTGCAGCCGTATGAACATCTATGCTGACAATATGATCCGTAATAAACAGTGTTTTTACACCATGAGCATTCTGTTTCTGATAAACACGTGCCACAGTTACTAGGACAAGTGTTGTTACAATCATCACCATACTGCAAACCTACGCAAGCATCGCATTTACGTCCAATAAATAAAGACGATTTACAGGTACAATCTCCTGATACAAGCGAGCATGTGTTATTGAGACAACCTTTCCCACATTGCAAATTACATTTGTTTGTATAATAACCGGGTTTACATTTTCCACATTCATAACCATTAATACAAGTTTTACAATTTTCTAGACACTCCTCTGTACATTTATCACCGTAAAAACCGTCGATACAACCATCAAGACATTTACTGTTTTCATCACAAAAATTATTTCCTCCTTTACAACATGCACATTCATTGCATGCTTGTATCGATGATCCTAGAAAATAAATGTAAAATTAAGATCAACACGTTTCAATATGCTTGTAATTGATAAAAACATTATTTGTAAAGCTATCCATTTTATTTTCGAAAGCTGTTTCCTCTTTTACAAAACATAATCCATTGGACAAGTTCTTGGATTTCTTTTATCAAAACAGATATAAACGAAGAAAGAATATGCCCACATAGTCAGTTTGGCTTTAAAAGGAGAACAAAAAGTGATATATTTTTGCATTATGTAACCTTTATTTTGAAAACATAAACCAATTTCGCCTTAGTTTTTATGCATAATTGACAACGTATCTTACGTGTACGACTAATATGTGTCCATCTTTTAAAGGGAACCACTAAGGTATAAAACCAAAGAAACACCATAAAATTTAAATGTTATTACGTAGTTCAACTGGGGCACTTAAAATAGTAAGGTATGGAAACGACAGTTAAGAAAAATGTTCTAAATAAATTGAAAATCGCGTTTTTGTGCTATTATGTTCAAATTTAAGTGAAATTTATTGCAATGAATTTCAATTTTGAATCAGTTGTCATTTCTTAAATCATTCATAATAACATATCAATCTACTGAAGACGCATATTTCACTACATTGTATATATACTTTTAAAATGAAACTTGTTGTTTGTATTATTATTAATATAATAAAATACAAAGATTTTAATTACATGTACTGTTAAACTTATTAAATGCTACTTACCGAACTGACTAACTAATACTAAAATAAGAAAAACAGATGTTGTCAAGCCCATCATTGTGTGAAACAGGTACCCTGAAAAATAGATGTTTTATAACGGTTTAAAATAAAAGGCAATTTTACAGTATACAATATATATGAAATATGAATATGAATTTGTTAAAGTACATTAAATGAGTTAATACGAGCATGCTATCAAACAAAGAGCGTGACAACATTTTGTTCACTCACAGATCAAGAGCAAATATGGTGCAAAACCTGGAAATGCAAAAACTTGACTAAAAGATGAAAATCTGTAAAATGCATGCGGATCTAATATGCCTCTCTTTCTTATCACATCGTTGATGTTATCACATCGTTGATGTATTCAAACAGTATTCAATTATCTAGTTGTATATCTAATATCCGTTGCTAAACAATTTTATGAATAGTTTAAATTAAAGATATCGCGATGTAATTGTGCACCAATTTTATGGTACATTGTGTAAACGGCTTGCAGCTGTATTATAACAAAAAATACTCCTGTAATTATATCTCTATAAAATATCTAAACACCTGTAAACTTTTTATCTTAAAAGAAGTCAGGTACAAAATATTACTTACATCGCATCATATCCAAGCACAGGTAAAGATTGTTAAATTGTTAAATTTTTTCATCCGAGAAAGAATCAATCAGAACAAATATATAGTTGACAAATGCAGGCTTGGGTTTGTCAATTGAAAACTTGAAATGTACAACTAAACACTTAAATATCCAACAATGCATACTTGGAAACGAGAGATATGTGATAGCTGTGTCGGAAGTTTTAAATGTTTATCATACAAAATCATCTTTACTAAAGAAAGGAGGACTCGCTGAAAAAATTGCTCAAGCAGTTATTGAATATACATATAAAACAACAGAAAAATTAGTAATAATATTTTCATATGAAAGATAGCCTAATTAGCTTAAAATGCTTTAAAAAGACTTGAAAACTTATTAACTAGATATAGGAGAACAAAACTTAAAACATTGCTCAAGCAGAAAATGAGTATTAAATATAAAAAAAGTAAATTGGAAATAATATTTACGGAATCGAAATAACTTGATTCGCTTTAATGATTAAAAAAGGACTGAAATAGTCAAAGAACGTCTCAGTATTACGGAAGAGTAAAATGACCCCCTTATATATTCTATATGCCTGTTTAAATTACTACATAGTTTGTAATGGGTTTTTCAAGTTATTGATAAACTAGTAGTTCATATTGATATTTTGTCTACTTTGCCTACTATACTGTCAAAACTATGCATTTTAAACTTAAGACTTTCTTAAGACATTCCGCTTTATTTATAAGAAACAATTATGTTTTTCTTCTTTTCATAGGAATTCTAGTTTGAAAAGCAGACGTTTCCTTGGGGTAAATCGCTTTTATTTATTGGAGTCAACTATCATCGAAGAAACTATGCATATTTGTGATTTAAGGGTGTATAATAACACATAAAACTCTTTAAGATCTATTTTATAAATCATATAACCTGTCAATTCTTTATAGATATTTATTATACAGAGTTTTTTTCTTTAATGCATAAAGAATATATTAGGGGGGTTCAGTATACTCTTCCGTACAATATTATTTTATACGCACTCTATATACATATCGTGTTTATTTGATCAAAATACACACAAAGGGCACAACTATCTATTTTAAATACTTTAAATGACCCATATCCAACACGTCTTCAATATAATGTCAAAAAGTTGAAAAAGCAATTTCAAAAAAATATGATAAAAGATTGTCAACTAATACTTTAGCATGAATTATAAATATTTTAGCAAATTGTTTATTATTAGTATTATCTAACATAAATCTTAGATATAAACGCTTTAATATAAAATACCTCTTTAATTATTGGATATCCAAGTCCCCTCCACTTCTTTATTGTATCTGTAGTAAACTATCGCTGTAATGAAAAGTTTGAAAGGCAAAAAACATACTTCCTTGTTAATTCAAGCACGGAGCGTAATTTCACAATTCATATTTAACCATATTGTACCACTGTACATTCATAATAACACTAGCAAACAAAAACAGATAAAGTTACAGCAAAACGAAATTAGCAGTGCGGAAAAAATCCAATAAGGAGGGGTGCAGAAAAAGCAATAAGGAAGAAGAAATTGAAAAGAAAAAGACATACACTTTGACATTATTTTAAATTTGATATCGTCAAATCTTCCTCTCGCAAAATCAGAGTCAAAATATAAGGTTCCCATTAGCATATTCATAAAATGTCCTTATTTTTATGATATTTATCAATGCTCTGTATTTAATTATAATAAAGCATCAAGATTAACAACCAGTCGGTGCATTATTACACCCATTGAAGCGCAACAATGTATAAAAAAAAATTATAAGCTGACAAGATGTTTAACTTCCCGTTCGGTTAACTTAATTCGCGTATAGTTGAACTGTGAATAAGGCGACCCGGCTTGGTTCCCAAACAACGCAGTTCACTTTGGTTGTGATTATGATTGCATTTTTACGGCCATTCGCTCTGTACTTGTACATGTACTCTGACATGAACAGAGGAAATAGCAGTTTCTTGTGATAGAGAAAGCATCCAGTACTGGTAAACTGCTTGACAGTCTGCCTAGAAAAACACGTTGGCTGAAATGTGCTAAGATGAATTCAACGTAGGCTTGAACAAAGCTTTTTTTACTAACGGTATTGTTAAACATTATACTATGTGGACCTGTGACGAAGTTTGTAGAGCACTCTCTTTTCTTTTAGACAACATTTATGTCAGGTTTGGTAATACCCTATTTAAACAGATCATAGGAATTCCTATGGGTACTAATTGTGCACCCCTGGTCGCCGATTTGTTTTTGTACTGCTATGAAAGAGACTTTATGTTGAGTCTCTCTGAAGAGAAACAACAAGATGTTATAGTCGCATTTAATAATACTTCCAGATACCTTGATGATATTTTTAATTTAGATAATCCTTATTTTGATCAAATGGTGTCTGACATTTATCCGCATGAACTACAACTTAATAAAACGAACTCTTGAAATTTTAGTACATCATTTTTGGATCTTCACACGAAAATTTATGATAAAAGAGATGACTTTGACTTTTGTATAGTTAATTATCCACATTTGGATGGAGACGTACCCCATGCAACATCCTACGGGGTTTATGTTTCTCAGTTAATTAGATTCGCTAGAGCTTGTAACAACGTAAAGGATTTCAACGAGCGGAATATTTTTATTACCAGCAAGCTTCTAAAACAGGGCTACCGCTATCATAAATTACGGAAATATTTTACTAAATTTTACAATCGTAACTTTGATTTAATTTCTAAATTCAATAGTGATTTAAAAACTCTTCTGCGACAAGGGATTAGCCAGCCTGGTTTTTATGGCGATGTGGTTTACAAACTTCGTAAGATTTTGGGTCATGGTAATTTTTCTGCTGTTTTTACTAAAATTATTAAACGTTTTATTAAAAGAGGTTATGACCCTACTATTGTAAGACATACTGCATGTTTAGTGTTCAACCCTTTTACAGTTGGACACTACGCTTTCCTCTTTTGATTGCATCTGACGGACCAAGTGGGAGACTCTATGATGGATAGTTCGTAAAGCCCTTTGGGACTGAATTGTCTTAATGTTCGTCTTCTGCCTTGCTTCGTCGGGCCCTTGTAGGTGATTTTCTTGTTGCTCTGTCTTCCTTTAGGACATTGAGTACTTTTGTTATGGTCATTGGGTTTACTTTTATATGTTTCTACATGATCATTTTAGTGTTTTACTTATTTAACCTTTTGTAACCATGACAACTGTTAGAATTTCACTTGGCGGGGATTCATTTTATTTACACTGTCTCGTTTATAGGAACATGGTGGGGCTAAGAGCGAGGTTTGGTGCACCATTAACCGGTTTAAACTCCCCAGCAGTCATTATTATGCTGCTGACCGTTCCAAGGCGGCGCCCCACTGTGTTCCTCAGATGTATGTCTATGTTGTTTCATACTGTTTTGGTGACACTTTTGCTTGTGTCCCTTGTTGTTTTCTCGTCTACGGTAAGTATCTTCCCCATTGCCTCTAGTTTTTATTTCTTTGATTACCCCCCCCCCCTTCCCCCGGTCTCCTGTCCCCTTCCCCTTTGTGGGCCTATTATTATTTTCTTTGAATTCCTAATCAGTTACAAATTATTTATCATTTAATGATTAACGTGTCGTTGCCCTGTCCTTTTTATGTTTGGGGTCCGCCTGGGCTCCTTGCCATTGGTTCTTGTTGCTGGGTCATATGGGGGTTGCGTTCATTGAACGCCGCCTTTCCTTGTTGATCTTGTTTTTCATATTTTACAGATGCTAGGGGGGCGGGTGGTGAGGGATGTTGCACTTATTCATTATCCCTTATGTACAGACTCAATCAAACCGAGTCTGCAATTCTTATGTAAATTTGTTGTGATTAATGCTTCCGAGGGATCACTTTGTTTCCAGATTTTTATACTTCACAACAGCTGGTGTCAAGTGCCGTGGGGCAGCTGTAAAAAGTTGCCCTGTACTTCACTTCAGTGTTGTTATATTTTTCTGGTCCTTCGGGATCATTGATGCCAGCACTATTAAGTGTTGAGAATTGAGTACTGCTCAAGCCGGTGCTATTGGGCGTGAGGGATGTTGCACTTATTCATTATCCCTCATGTACAGACTCAATCAAACCGAGTCTGCAATTCTTATGTAATTTATGCTTCCGAGGGATCACTTGTTTCCAGTTTTTACTGCAATGATCCGAACAGTAAACATCAGAACCACTACCACTTCCGGTAAATATGAAACCAGTATGTAGAAGATAGATTAACAAAGAAGTATTTGGATACCGTACAAGTTACATAGACAACTCTTCAAGTAAAAGTCCACCCGCTGAAAGGGAGAGCATCGAATTTGTAATTCAGTGGTGGCAGTTTTGATCCTTTTTCTTCGTAGCAATTGATCTCTCGAACATTGAGTCTAATGGCCATTCAAACACCATGTGGGATCACTTGCAGAGTAATTGATAATTATTATTACTGGTCAATTATCCAGGAAATCCGATTGGTTGGACTGACCGCCGAGTTTCATTAGAATCGGCGTGAAATAGGACAATAAACAAGGTAGGCAATTTTGCAGACTATGAATACTGAAATGAATCTTAATTTGTTGTTGTTGTTTTGTTGGGTTTTTTTTTCGACAAGATCAAATAACTGGAGAGCAGTCTGTTCCAATGGTCATTATAATCTTGAACGTAATTTACCTTGTGATACCTTGTGATGTAATGAAAACTTTATTGGTCCCTAGCGGACTACCATACCCCTCGAGTTCTATTTTTCTTGTCGACTGCTCCGGTATTGGTCAATTCAATAAACATCGTTAAGTATAAATATTGTCCACTGTCAGTGTTTATCTAATTTTGACTTAAACTTATTCACATTCTTATATAAAACTATTTTGTTTGTTTGTTTTGTTTGCTTCAGTTTACGCCTTTTCTCAACAGTATTTCAGTCATATAGGCGGGTAGTTTCCTAACCATCGTTCCTGGAGAGTTACACCAGTACTAGACTACCTTCCTCCGCGCTAAACTACCAAAGCATCTCCCGGTGATCGAACCCACGCCAGAGAGGTAACTGGATTAGAAGTAAAACTATTTCAATGAGAAGTAGGTTCCATGCGTTTACAATTCTATAAGCGAAGGAACTTTGTCTTATTGACTGTAGTGGTGTAACTTTTCTAGTTTTTAATTTGTCTTCGGATTTCATAATTTGTAGTCTCCCAATTTAATCAAAGATTTTATATTTTCGATCCTTGATGATCGTTCAGCAAGACATATTTGTTGTGTATACATGTTACTAGTATGTGGTATTTTTAGTTTCTTCTATTTTGGCCTTTTCCAACTTGGGTGGTTCCAGTATTCCTACTTGAATACTGACTAATCACCCTTAGGATATGTTGCCTGCTTTTCAAAATTGTCTTTTGACGTCTACTTTGTTTCCAGAATTTTATCTGTGATATGCAGGCTTCATAACCTCAGATCCCCTTTCAAAATTCCATTTTTATTTAGTTCCGCCCATTTTTTTCTCGTTTAGGGCACATGCATTTTTTACTTGGGGGCCATATGCCGCTTTTCATGGGATGGCACTTCCGTGTCACATTGAAGGTTTCATGAAAACCGCCGTATGAACACAACTGCGGATGTTTCTAAATTCAAAATGTCACCATTTTCGTGTTAAATGTTGAATTCTGCTTAAAATAGGGCTAGGGGGCGTGGACGGTAACTTGTACTTTCCAGTACCGTCTATGAACAGGCTCAATCAAACCGAGCCTGCATCATTTTCAGTTTTGCCGTGTCGGGCTTTCTTTAGGGATTCTGTTTTTCTCTATTTCAGGGAACATATTTTATAGTACTGCTAGAACTATTTGCTGAAGCCAATCCCGTATCGAAAGACAACCAGCATTGTGGCATATTTATGTTATGCTGTAAATAAATGCTATTTTAACAAGAGCCATGTCAACATGGCTATCCCCCGCCGAATGTGTTTGCTCATTGGAAGAATGTATATGTAGTACAGCAGAATAATTCCATTTTAAGAGGTATTTTGGTAATGAAAACTGATGGCTATAGTGATTACAGATTTGAAACCTATGTGAATACTGATGGCTGAAAATAACAAAGGGCAATAACTGAAAAATAATGCAGGGTAGGTTATCATTCTTGTGTGCTGCATCCCTCCTCAGTAAAATCTATCCACCTATGAAGTTTCAAGTTGATACCTCAATGCTTTTTGAAAAAAAAATTGAATTGAAAAATTAAGTATGAAAAATAACAAAGGACAATAACTCAAAAATTATAAAAGGTAAAGTTATCATTCTTGTGCACTGCACACCTCCTGAGTTAGATCCATGCACCTATGAAGTTTCATAATGATATCTCAAAGGCCTTTTGAGTTATGCTCTGGACAAAAATTATTTTTGAAAAATAAAAAAGGGCAATAACTAAACAATTATGCATGGTAGAGTTATCATTCTTGTGCACTGCACTCTTCCTCAATAAGATCCATCCACCTATGAAGTTTCAAGTTGATACCTCAAATACTTTTTGAGATAAGCTCCGGACAAAATAGTATGAAAAAGAACAAAGGGCAATAACTCAAAAATTGTACAGGGAAGAGTTATCATTCTTGTGCACAGCATTCCTCCTCAATAAAATCTATGCACCTATGACATCTCATGTTGACATCTCAAACACTTGTGAGTTATGCTCCACTCGGGTGAAAAATTAGGTATGAAAAATAACAAAGGGCAATAACTCTAAAATTATGAAAGGTAGAGTTATCATTCTTGTGCACTGCACACCTCCTGAGTGAGATCTATGCACCTATGAAGTTTCATTTTGATATCTCAAAGGCTTTTGGAGTTATGCTCTGGACAAAAATCAATTTTGAAAAATAACAAAGGGCAATAACTAAAAAAAATATGCAGGATAGAGTTATCATTCTTGTGCACTGCACTCCTCCTCAATGAGATCCATCCACCTATGAAGTTTCAAGTTGATACCTCAAATACTTTTTGAGATAAGCTCTGGACAAAATAGCATGAAAAAGAACGAAGGGCAATAACTCAAAAATTGTATAGGGAAGAGTATCATTCTTGTGCACAACATTCCTCCTCAATAAGATCTATCCACCTATGACATTTCATGTTGATATGTCAAACACTTTTTGAGTTATGCTCCACTCAGGTGAAAAATTAAGTATGAAAAATAACAAAGGGCAATAACTCAAAAATTATGAAAGGTAGAGTTATCATTCTTGTGAACTGCACACCTCCTGAGTGAGATCTATGCACCTATGAAGTTTCATGTTGATATCTCATAGGCTTTTGGAGTTATGCTCTGGACAAAAATCAATTTTGAAAAATAACAAAGGGCAATAACTCAAAAGTTATGCAGGGTAGAGTTATCATTCTTGTGCACATATAATTTCAGTCTATATTTCTGAACTAAGAACGTGTTGATATCAAGGACATTTCATTTTAACTTGTATTTAAGCATAAAATAAAATGAAAAATGCTTTAAAGCTGTTATATTTTTTCTGATCTCGTGAACTTCAGAAACAGTAATTCTCGCGCAATATACTGTTTTTTTAAAGCTCACTGGATGAAATAAAAGTTCATCTTACACAAAAACAAACACATATCCTCTATGTATAGGTGAATAATACACATCTACAAGAATAATGTTATCTACAAAAATTTCTTCTTTTTTTCTTTTTATTATGGTTGGGTTTTACATCGCATTAACAAAGAAGAGGTCACATTGCGATTTTTCCAGATACACTGGTGGAGAAAGACCTCCAGGTGGCCCTCTGCCCCCAATAAAGCTGGAAGGTCACCAAATGGAGATTATCTAAATATTATATAAAAATGTTATGGTTTAAAATAATTATTTTCTAGCAAGACCCTAGCTGCCTCTTGTTTAAGAATTATTTAATTTACTTTGAATTTAGCAGAGTTCTAAAACCGCATCGTTCCTGAGCAATTCAGTTTATCAGTAAGTAAGTTTATCAGTACAAGTTGTCTTCACTTCCTTAACTTCTGTACATGCTACAGCAGAGGTACAGTGTGAATGACCATAGAAAGGATTTTATGATCACACAATCACAACAAAAGTGAAATGCAACTTTCGGGAATCTTCTCAAAATTTTGTGACGCACACTTATAAAAATTCCTGATTCTGCGCCTCTTTATTGATAGGACTAGTTACTAGTAGTTAAAACTAACACAAATTTATGATCTGTAAACATGTATAAATTAAAATTGTAAAACATTGTTACTTATAAAATTGTCTGCTTATTACACTTTGTAATTATTATTTATTATTTTGCAGAAAAAAACCTGCATCTGCTGTAGAACTTTGCAAGCAAAGACTTAAATAACTCAATAGAAGCATACTCCAAAGATGAACGTTATTGGCATATCTATATCTATAAAGACCAAGCAACCATTGTTTAATTCCTGAACGTGATTTTGTCAAAGGAGGAAAAAAAACGTATCAAACTTGCAATAAACATTGGTTAGGGACTACTTGTACATATGCGTCTGTTATGTTTTCACCCTCGATTACATAGTTAACAAAGCCTTTTAAAGCAACAATAAAAAGCATTTATATTTTTAGTTCTTATAATGTTTTCTTTTTATACAATACCGAAGTAATATCTCACATGCACTAACGCCACATATTTGATTCATAATAGTTAATAAATATTTTAACAAAACGGCGCCAATCCGTAAGCAGCGGAATGACGTCATCCTAAGTAAGCAACTCATTCATAAACAAAAACTAACGTTATTTCATACATACAAGTATGATTAATGGGGCACTGATGTAAACACAATACGACGTAAGATTTTATTGTTGAAACTTTGATAAAATAACGTTTTGTTTTTCTTACTATTTATTTTGTTTAATAATTTCTGTATCTTCGCAACAGTAGGGTGCGAATATCGAACAACGTTCTACGGAAATCGGCACCGGCAGACATTTCCGCTTGAATAAATAACATTAGTGATCCTCTTTATTTTATCATGTTAGAATCGATATAACATTGACCTGAGAGGTGTATATCGGCTATTTAACACCGGTTTTGTTGTTTTGATGCGAAAAAATAAACACTCAGGCCTTTGGCCTTTGTGAACAATTCCTACGCATCAAAACTCCAAACCGGTGTTAAATAGCCGATATACACCTCTAAGGCCGATGTTATTTCTTAATTAATCATTTCTACATACACTACACTCGAATAGTTTATAAGTAATCACAGTATGTGAACGCATACAAAGTATTTAAAATCTAAAGCAATATTGAACGTATAAATTGAGCCTAATACATTGTAATAAGTACTTTTACAAAAAAAAATCAAAATCTTTAAAAAAACAATGTAGTTATGTTTGATTGGGTTTTACACATCGACACAGTATAGGCCATTTGGCGACGTTCCAGCTTAACTGGTGGGGGAAGACCTCAGGTGCCCTTTCGTGCATTATTTCGGGCACGAACGAGCACCTGAGTAGAACCACCGACGTTCCGTAAGCTAGCTGGATAGCAATGTAGTTAAGCTTAATATGTAGATTTCATTGTGCTTAATACACGTAATGAAGTAATGATAATTCATTATGTAAATAATGTTTTAGTCAATGATTAGTCATTATCTAGTTCACAAAAATCATAGTCATTGTTTACTGGCCTCATTTTCTTATCGCTTTTAGTATCATATAATGTATTTGCTTTGTCATTCCCATGTTTATTCAAATTATTGGAATTAAATACAGCATAATCGTTGCTTGGAGGAGACATGGTTTTGTGTTTCTCTCCATCTGCAGAGTCGTAAACATCATCTGGTTGTGTCAGCTTTGATTCAGTGTTGTCAGATCTTACGCTTAGTACGGCATAGTCATTATTACTATCAAAATGATCTTTGTTCTTTTTGTTGTCACGTGTTGTATCATACATTTCCTCAATGCATTCGTTTTCCTTCACAGTCGACTTCCCTTTCTTTACAACAGCATAATCATTGTTGCCATTTAATGGTTTGTTACATTTGTTATCGTGTGCAATATCACAGACCTCAAAACTCTTGCCTTTCACATTGGCAGATGTTCCTATGTTTACCGTACTATAGCCATTGTCAATCGCAGGTATGTTTTTATCACCGTCATATGCAGTATCATGTTCTTTCCCGGCATCACCACCGGCTTCCTGTTTTGGATTTTGTAAAGGCTTGGCGTATACGACACCTAGAATAAACGACTTAAAGTTTAGTATAATACATGTATATGACACAAAAAATAAGGAACAACTGAGCAAAATATCAATATAAAAGTATTACCCCGAATAAATAATGCCGCCCACAGTCTTAATTTTGTTTTCATTAGTAAAAACTGAATTGTTTAATGTACCTTGTCCAATGTTATATTATAAAGAATAATTATAAAATTTAAAACTTATATATTTAAACAAACCTGATTCGTCATCGTCAATTTGTTTCGGGATCTCTTTCATATCAAGTACATAATCGTTTTCCTCACATTTTGTTTGAGCAGATAGTTTTTGTCTGAAATAATAAATGTAAGTCGAAAATGACTTTGTTTAATTTCTTAGTACATAAACATAGCTTCATTACACTGAAGATTTCATAAACTGCAAAAAGTCTAGCACTAGATGTTTTTCGAAATATATTCTTAAACCAATTCAAACACAGTGTGTACCTTCGATTCCGTTTTATAAGACAGATTGCTGGGATCACCAGCAAGACTATAACAGCAACACCAGCACCAGCAGATGCTGCAATGATCACATATGATGTTTTTTCTTCTGATTCAGCATCTTTTATAGCTTAAAAAATAATAACAAACATTTAAATGAAATGAACAACTTTGGCACAGTACAGTCATACAAGGATTCTTCAAAAAGTAATAGATCTGTGTCTTTACTGTTAACATATTTTAATTTACGAGCACACTCTTACAAGAGAAAAATATCGAAACATCTCCTCTATATACAGGGAACAAATTAGATATTGTCATTAAAAATTACTATTTACTTTGAAGAAATGAAATTACGTGGTGGTATGATCAAGTATATTTAAGAACTACATTTACCCAGAACACATTTCGGTCCTTCATATCTGTAAGTACACCCATGCAGACATTCCGCTGTATCCTTGTCACAAATTGCATTTACACATTGACTGCTACATTTGTTCTCACATTTTTCGCCATGAAATCCATCTTTGCATCTATACAAACAATACCCTATCTTTTCATCACAGACGCGCTTGTTTCCATTTGACAGGCATGAAGTAGAACAGTTTTGATCGCAAAATGGTCCGTAATAATTAATACTACACCCGTCAGAACAATTTCCTGATTTCCAGTCGCAGCTTTGTTTGTTGCACGTATCACTACAATATTTTTCACAATATTCTCCCCATTTTCCATGCAAGCACCCATATTTGCATCGGCCAGCCACATTACAAGAAGAGTTTTTACAATTATATGAACAGTTTGTACATATAATATTTAGCCCAAGGTTATTTTGATCATTTAGGTAAAACCCATCGTCGCATTCTGTACAATTTCCATAGCTATCAAGTTCATTTGCAATACATGCTCGGCAATTTATGTCTTCATCACGACACGATTTTGAACAATTTACACCAAATGATCCATTTTCACATGTGTCACATAAATCCCCAACAAATCCCGATTTACACTGTAAGCATCGACCATCAGCAAGTGAACAATTTCCATTACAACCAGATGGACAAGTATTATTACATATATTACCGTAAAAGCCGGTCTTACATTCGGTACAGTTTGTCAGCGAAACACAATTAAAACAATTATCCGTGCAATTTAAATCACAATAGGGACCATATATTCCAGGGGAGCATTTTTCACATTTACCACCAATAAAACCAGGTTTACATCCTTTCGTACAATGCCCTGTTCCTTTATTACATGTTCCATTGACACAACCAACTGAACATCTATACTGACAATATGATTCGTAATAAGCAGTGTTTCTACACCATGAACATTCTGCATCTGATATACAGGAGCCACAGTTAGTAGGGCACGTGTTGTTACATTCATTGCCATACATTAAACCTACGCAAACATCACATTTACCTTTGACAAAGTTAGCCGATTTACATGAACATTCTCCAGATACATGAGAGCATGTTCGGTTGAGACAACCTTTCCCACATTGCAAATTACATTTTTTGGTATAATAACCAGGTTTACATTCTCCACATTCATAGCCAGTGACACAAGTTTTACAATTTTCTAGACACTCCTCTGTACATGTATTACCATAATAACCGTCGATACAACCATCAAGGCATATGCTGTTGCTATCACAAAAATAAGTTCCTCCTTTACAACATCTACACTCATCGCATGCCTGTATCGATAATCCTAGAAAATTTATATAAAATCAAGATCATTATGTTTCAATTTGATAAATATTTATAACAACCTTGTTTATGAAGCTATCCGTTTTATTTGCTCTGGACAAGTACTTGGGTTTCTTTCACCAAAACAGGCATATAGAAAGAGTGTGCATCAACATAGTGTCAGTTTGCTTTAATCGGAAATAGAAAATATAGAATTTTGCAATACATGACTTTAATTTCGATAAACATAAACCAATTTCGCCTTAATGTGTATGCATTATTGACAACATATCTTACGTGTACGACTTACCTATGTCCATCTTTTAAAGGGAAACCAGTAAGGTATAAAAGCAAAGAAACACCCAAAAATACATTTTCTTTCGTAGTTCAACTTTGGCACTTAAAATAGTAAAATATCCAAAAGATATTTAAGAAATATGTTATGAATACATTGAAAATCGCATTTTGTGCTATTATGGCCAAATTTAAGTCGAATTTGTCGCAATGCTTTTTTTTTAAATTTTGAATCAGTTGTCATCCCTGCAATCAATCATAAAAATCCATCAATCTACAGAAGACGCACATTTCACTACAATGTATATATATACGTTTTAAACTATAACTTGTTGTTTGTATTGTTATTATGATAAAATACAAAGATCTTTAATGACATGAACTGTGAAACTTATTAAAAGCTACTTACCGAACTGACTAACTAACACTAAAATAAGAAAAACAGATGTTGTCAATCCCATAATTGTGTGAAACAGGTACTCTGAAATATAAAAGTTTTATAACGGTTTCAAATTTAAGGCAGTTTTACAGTATACAGAAATATATATATATATATGAAATATGATTATGAATTTGTTAAAAAGTACATTGAATAAGTTAATATGAGCATGACATCAAAGAAAGATCGTGACAACCTTTTGTTCACTCACATATCAAGAGCGAATATGGTGCAAAACCTGGAAATGTAAAAATTTGACTAAAAGATGAAAATCTGTAATATGTATGCGGATCTAATATGCCTCTCTTTATTTTCACATCGTTGATGTATTCAAAAAGTATTCAAGTATTTAGTTGTATATCTAATATTCGTTGCTATAGAATGTTATGATTTAAATTAAAGATATCACGATGTGTAATTGTGCACCACTTTTATGGTACAATGTGTATGACAGATTGCAACTGTAGGCCTATTATAACCAAATATATTTTTTTAAGAAACTCTTGTAATTATATCTGTATAAAATATTTAAAAACCTGTCAACTATTAATCTTAACAGAAGTCAGGGACAAAATATTACTTATATCATGTTATATAATAATATATCCAAGCGCAGGTAAAGATTGTTAAATTGTTAAATTTTGAAAGGGGAGATCATCCGAGAAAGAATAAATCAGAGCAAATATATTGTTGACAAATTCAGGCTTTGGTTTGCCAAGCGAAAAATTGAAATGTACAACTAAACACTTAAATATCCAACAATGCATACTTGCAAACGAGAGATGTGTGATAGGGGTTTCGGAAGTTTTAAATGTTTATCATACAAAATCATCTTTACTAAAGATAGGAGGACTCACTGAAAATATTGCTCAAGCAGTTGTTGAATATACGTATAAAACAAAAGTAAAATAGTAATAATATTATCATATTAAAAAAAGCCTGATTGGCTTTAACGATGTAAAAAGAATTTAAATAACAAAGGAACTTCCATACATACTGTATATACTTTTTTTGGTCCAAAATTGCACAAAGAACACAACTTGTTTATATCAATTTTCCACGACTTAATAAATAATTTTAATATAAATGGTATACATTAATTTTTATAACCTGTAAAATATTTAAGTAATATTAAATACTTTAAAGGACACACATCCAACATGTGCTCAATGCAATATCAAAAAGTTAAAATATTAAATTTCAAAAATAAGGTATATTTAAAAGACTGTTCAACTTTAATATGTATCAGTTTAAATACTTATTATTATCAAAACATAAATCTTAAATATAAACTCTTTAACATAAAATACCTCTTTAATTATTGGATAACCAAGTCCCCTCCACTTCTTAATTGTATCTGTAGTAAACTACCGCTGTAATGAATAGTCTGAAAGGCAAAAAAAACATACTTCCTTGTTAATTCAAGCACGGAGCGTAATTTCACAATTAATATTTTACCATATATTACCACCATAAATTCATAATAACACTAACAAACAAAATCAGATAATGTTACAGCAACACGAAATTAGCAGTGCGGAAAAAGCCAATAAGGAAGAAGAAATTGAAAAGATAAAGACATACACTTTTACATCATTTTAAATTTGATATCGTCAAATCTACCTCTCGCAAAATCAACACAGGTCAAAATATAAGGTTCCCATTAGCATATTCATAAAATGTCCTTATTTTTATGATATTTATCAATGTTCTGTATTTAATTATAATAAAGCATCAAGATTAAAAACCAGTCGGTGCATTATTACACCAACTGAAGCGCAACAATGTATAAAAAAAAATATAAGCTGACAAGATGTTTAACTTCCCGTTCGGTTAACTTAATTCGTGTATAGTTGAACTGTGAATAAGGCGACCCCGCTTGGTTCCCAAACGATGCAGCTCACTTTGGTTGTGATGATGATTGCATTTTTACGGCCATTCGCTCTGTACTTGTACATGTACTCTGACATGAAGAGAGGAAATAGCAGTTTCTTGTGAGGGAGAAAGCATCTAGTACTGGTAAACTGCTTGACAGTCTGTCTAGAAAAACACGATGGCTGAAATGTGCTAAGGTGAATTCAAAGTAGGCTTACAGATGCTAGGGGGGGTGGTGAGGGATGTTGCACTTATTCATTATCCCTTATCAAACCGAGTCTGCAATTCTTATGTAATTTTGTTGTGATTAATGCTTCCGAGAGATCACTTTGTTTCCAGATTTTTATACTTCACAACAGCAGGTGTCAAGTACCGTGTGGCAGCTGTAAAGAGTTGCCCCGTACTTCACTTTAGTGTTGTTATAATTTTTATGTTCCTTCGGGATCATTGATGCCAGCACTATTAAGTGTTGAGAATTGAGTACCGCTCAAGCCGGTGCTATTGGGCGTGAGGGATGTTGCACTTATTCATTATCCCTCATGTACAGACTCAATCAAACCGAGTCTGCAATTCTTATGTAATTTATGCTTACGAGGGATCACTTGTTTCCAGTTTTTACTGCAATGATCCGAAAGGTAAACATCAGAACCACTACCACTTCCGGTAAATACGAAAACAGTATGTAGAAGATAGATTAACAAAGCTGTACTTGGATATCGTACAAGTTACAAAGACAACTCTTCAAGTAAAAGTCCACCTGCTGAGCTCCAAAGGGAGAGCATGGAATTTGTAATTTAGCGGTGGCTGTCTTGATCCTGTTTCTTCGTAGCAATTGATCTCTCGAACACTGAGTCTAATGGCCATTCAAACACCATGTGGGATCACTTGCAGAGTAATTGATAATTATTATTACTGGTCAATTATCCAGGAAATCCGATTGGTTGGACTGACCGCCGAGTTTCATTAGAATCGCGTGAAATAGGACAATAAACAAGGTAGGCAATTTTGCAGACTATGAATACTGAAATGAATCTTAATTTGTTGTTTTTGTTTTGTTTTGTATTTCGACAAGATCAAATAACTGGAGAGCAGTATGTTCCAATGGTCATTATAATCGTGAACGTAATTTACCTTGTTTACTACGTGATGTAATGAAAACTTTATTTGTCCCTAGCGGACTACCATACCCCTCGAGTTCTATTTTTCTTATCGACTGCTCCGGTATTGGTCAATTCAATAAACATCGTTAAGTATAAATATTGTCCACTGTCAGTGTTTATCTAATTTTGACTTAAACTTACTCACATTCTTATATAAAATTATTTCAATGAGAAGTAGGTTCCATGCGTTTACAATTCTATAATCGAAGGAACTTTGTCTTATTGACTGTAGTGGTCTAACTTTTTTAATTTGTCCTCGGATTTCATGATTTGTAGTCTCCCCCTACATTTAATCAAAAATGTTATATTTTCGATCCTTGATGATCGTTCAGCACGACATATTTGTTGTGTATACATGTTTTGTGGTATTTTTAGTTTCTTCTATGTTGGCCTTTTCAAACTTGGGTGGTTCCAGTATTCCAACTTGAATACTGTCTAATCACCCTTGAAATATGTTGCCTGCTTTTCAAAATTGTCTTTTGACGTCATATCTGTGATATGCAGGCTTCATAACCTCAGATCCCCTTTCAAAATTCCATTTTTATTTAGTTCCGCCCATTGTTTTCTCGTTTAGAGCACATGCATTTTTTACTTGGGGACCGTTTTTCATGGGATGGCACTTACGTGTCACATAGAAGGTTCCATGATAACCGCCGTATGAACACATCTGCGGATGTTTCTAAATTCAAAATGTCACCATTTTCGTGTTAAATGTTGAATTCTGCTTAAGCCGGGGCTAGGGGGCGTGGACGGTAACTTGCACTTTCCAGTACCGTCTATGAACAGGCTCAATCAAACCGAGCCTGCAACATTTTCAGTTTTGCCGTGTCGGGCTTTCTTTAGGGATTCTGTTTTTCTCTATTTCAGGGAACATGTTTTATAGTACTGCTAGACCTGTTTGCTGAAGCCAATCCCGTATCGAAAGACAACCAGAATTGTGGCATATTTATGTTATGCTGTAAATAAATGCTATTTTAATAAAGGTAGTAAGATATAATTTCAGTCTATATTTCTGAACTAATAACGTGTTGATATCAAGGAAATTTCATTTTAACTTGTATTTAAGCATAAAATAAAATAAAAATTTGCTTTTAAGCTGTTATATTTTTTTCTGATCTGGTGACCTTCAGAAACAGTAATTCTCGCGCAATATACTGTTTTTTAAAGCTCACTGGATGAAATAAAAGTTCATATTACACAAAAACAAACAACTATCCTCTATGTATAGGTTAATTATACCCATCTACCAGGATAATGATATCTACAAAAAAATTTCTCTTTTTTCTTTTTTTATGGTTGGGTTTTACGTTGCATTAACAAAGTAGGGATCACATTGCCACTTTTCCAAATTAACTGATGGAGGAAGATCCTCAGGTGGTGCTCCGCCACCAATTAAGCTGGAAGGTTGTCAAATGGAGATAATCTAAATATCATAAAACAAATGCTATGTTTTAAAATAATTACTTTCTAGCAAGACCCTAGCTGCCTCTTGTTTAAGAATCAATCAATTTACAGTGAATTTAACAGTTCTATAACCGAATCGTTCCTGAGCAAGTCAGTTTATCAGTACAAGTTGTCTTCACTTCCTTAACTTCTGTACATGCTACAGCAGAGGTACAGTGTGAATGACCATAGAAAGGATTTTATGATCACACAATCACAACAAAAGTGAAATGCAACGTTCCGGAACCTTCTTAAAATTTTGTGGCACACACTGGAAAAAAAACTCCCGATTCTGCTCCTTTTTATTGATACAAGTAAATCAAATAAATAAGGCTAATCAGTACTGTCCGGTCGGCTACATAGGAAGAGCATTGGACTATGGATCGGGCGATCCGGGTCCGATTATCAGTTCCTGGCGAAGGCAACTAATACTGGTAAACAGCCTACCCAGGTTAAATGCAGTGGCTAAGATGTGCTCTGGTAAACTCAATGTGACTTGCTGCCATGACAACGTGAGTGAATACTACCAACACCACCAGCATTGCGACTAATTAACCCGGAGGAAGGTAGTCTAGTACTGGTGTAACTCTCCAGGAACGATGGTTAGGAAACTACCCGCCTATGTGACTGAAATACTTTTGGGAAAAGGCGTAAAATGAAACAAACAAACTAATTAACCAATATAAATACATGTAACTTAGCAATAAATAATAAGTAAACTCACAGAGTTTCAAAATACAAAATTATTCCATTTTTTTTTACAAAAACATACATACATGGAGATTTGTTATAATTCATATCTACATTAAAACATGTAAACATTAAAAAAAACTTTGTACAATGAACAATTTAATAAAAAAGCAAGAAATTTTAATGTTTGTGCTCCATTTACATCATTATTGTCATCATTTTGAAAACAAGCCCTTATTTTATTTTAAGTCAGGTGAACTTCTAACTGGACCTTTATCTATCAAAAGTAATATTGAACACCATTGTTGTAGATAACCTTTTAGCTTTTCCATACACAAGTTTTCAAAATTATCACAGCAAACGCAAATCTTGCATTTGCCCTATCGTAGTGACAAATGTAAGACATGTAAGCCACTGAATGACAATAAGCCGGTAATGTCGTCGTATAATAAAAGACATGTACACCCCATCAAAAACATAAAAAATTGAGGTGCATGCTTTTCTTGCTACCAAGACGAATTGTATCGGATAAGTCAACACAAAATCATGTCAGGGGACTCAAAATATTTCTGAATCAGAATTTTTAAAAAGTGGAATGAAATCTGTTTCATACTTGTGATAATATAACAATTAATTTATGGTGTTTAGCAAAATTTCAATAGTATATATTCATTAAACCATATACACTGGGTGAAGTAGCATATTCACTTTCTAAAAATAGATTGAGACTCAATGATCATGTATCGTTACCTTTTGTTCTTTTGTCATACTTTCGATCAAAATATCATTGCTTTACTATAAAGGTTAAAAGCTGCTCCGTAATGAGGTCTTTAAACTCGCTAAGTCGCCATTTTGATTACGGTGCGGCTTTTTTCCCGCTTTTCAATGAAAACGAGAAAACGCTGTGTTTTGTATTTTCTTATCAGGCTTTATTATTTTGTGTATGTATTCATATAAGATAACAATTATTGACTAGTTAGCCATTGAATATGATGTGATATTCATCAGCAGAAAAGCCATATTGTTACTTATAATTGTGTTATATGGCTGCAGCAGTCCATTAATTAATATTCGGATTTATTGGCATGTATAGACTTTTAGGTGTGAATGATTAAGATTCAGATCTGTACCAGAATTATTATGAAATAAGTAAAACCTGTGATAGTAATGATTCGTTAAATTGAAATCTTATAGTTCTACTAACTACTAAATACTTTTAAATGAGTCTTACAAATAACAAAAATACTCGAACTGAGGGCTACAAATAGATGCATTTATGATATTATGCTTATTACTTGAAACAATCTTATATTACAATTAAATATACGTGCAGTTTGTAACATTTTTGCACATGCAGACATATTATACAAAACCAAAATAATAATTCACTCGTGTGCTTCTATTTTTAGATTTCCATCATAATTATTTCTGCATCTTAAAAACTTTGTATGGACAAAAATGATGTACATGTACCATTAAACCACGTTGTCTTTTAAACACATCAAACTAGGTAAATAGTAATAATATTACTTATTTGTTTTTTTAATACCTCTACAATGATATAATCCACGGTTTCATATCTAAATAATATTCATCAAGGCAACAAATGTCAATCATATTTATCACGATAATAAGTGATAGAAAAAAGCATTTATTCAAATTTTACTAGTATCATAATTATCATACATACCGATTTTAATGTTATTTATAGAGGATAAGTTTTTTCCTTCCAAAATTATAGTAAAAACTTTATACAGCTCATGAAATACAATAAATGTAAAACTATACATTTTAAAGATTAATAATGATGTTAATCATGAATTTGCCAATAGTTCATAATGATAATATTTCCACAATGCTTAGTTAAAACCAGCACAATTTCATAATATTTAAATCTGTAAACTATTGTTTCTTATAAAATTGTCTGCTTATTACAACATTGTGTAATTATTATTTCTTATTTTGAATAAAAAACATGCCTCTGCTGTAGAACTTTGCAAGCAAAGACTTAAATAGCTCAACCAACGCATGCTCCCTAAAAGCTTCACACAAGATAAACGTTAGTGGCATATATCTATATCTATAAAGACCCTAGCAACTAATGTTTTATTCCTGAATTAATTATTTCTAACATACAATACATTAGAATAGTTTATGGGAAAAATCACAGAATGTAAACTTATACAATGTATTTAAAATTTAAAGCAATATTTAACGTATGAAATTAGCCTAATAAGTACTCAAAAACAAAATCAATACCATTCGAAATTCGAATTCAACGTAGTTAAGCTTAAAATGTAGACTTCATTGTGATTAATACACTTAAAGAAGTAATGATAATTCTATCAAGTAAGTATTGTGTTTGTGAATGATTAGGTAGTATTTAGTTCACAAAAATCATAGTCATTGTTTCCTGGTCGCATTTTCTTATCGGTTGCAGTGTCATATAATGTATTAGCTTTGTCATTTCCATGTGAATCCCCATTGTTGGAATTAAATACAGCATAATCGTTGCTTGGATGAGACATGGTTTTGTGTTTGCCTCCTTCTGCAGAGTCGTAAACATCATCTGGTTGTGCCAGGTTTGATTTGCCGAAGCCTTTGGTGCTGTCAGATCTTACACTTAGTAAGGCATAGTCATTACTACTATTAAAATGACCTTTGTTCTTTTTGTTGTCATGTGTTGTATCATACATTTCCTCAATGCATTCGTTTTCCTTCACAGTCGACTTCCCTTTCTTTATAACAGCATAATCACTGTTGCCAGTTAACGGTTTGTTACATTTGTTATCGTGTGCAATATCACAGACCTCAAAACTCATGCCTTTCGCATTGGCAGATGTTCCTATGTTTACCGCAGTATAGCCATTGTCAAGAGCAGGTATTTTTTTATCACCGTCATATGCAGTGTCATATTCTTTCCCGACATCACCACCAGCTTCCTGTTTTGGTTTGAAAGGCTTGGCGTATATAACACCTGGAATAAACGACATAAAATTGAGTATAAGACATGTATATAACACAAAAGATACGGAACAAATGAGCAAAGTATCAATATAAAAATATTACCCAAAAAGGTAATTGCAGCTCCACCATATTTATATTGCTTTCATCAGTAAAAACTGAATTTCTTAATATATCTTGTCAGATTTTATGTCCCAAAGAATAATTATAGAACGAACACATAAATATTAAAACAAACCTGGTTCGTCTTCGTCAATTTGTTTCGGAATCTCTTTCATATCAAGTACATAATCGTTTTCTTCACATTTTGTATTGGAAGGTAATTTTTGTCTGAAAATAAAAAGTAAATAATGCTATTTAATATCTGAATATAAACATATCATTTATTACAATGAACGCGGTACTTTTGTCCTTTAAACTTGTCGTAATAATCTGCAAAATGTCTAGAACCAGAATTTTATTTTCATATTTCATTTATTTCTCTGAATACTTAAATCTTGACTCGCGTTAAATTTTGTTTTTATCTTACGACTTAAAAAGCACGTGCTTCGTCAAAAAAACAAAACATTCGATATAAATTAAGTAACGTAATAAAAGAAATATACAAATGTAATTTGACTCATAATTTTGAACCAATTCAACCATAATGAGTACCTTCGATTCCATTTTATAAGACAAATAACTAGGATCACCAGCAAGACTATAACAGTAACACCAGCACCGGCAGATGATGCAATAAGAAGTGGTTTCTTTTCTTCCAAATCGGCACCTTTAATAGCTAAAAATAAATAACAAAACAATCAAATGGAATACCTTCATATGAGTTTTGAACAAAATTGGTACAGTCATGCAAGGGATTCTTTAAAAAGTAATAGGACTGCGGCTTTACTGTTAGCATCCTTAAATTTACGCTCAAAATTTTACAAGAGACACATATAAAAACGTTTCCTTTTTATAATGTGAACAAATCAAATAATGTCATTAGAAAAAATAGTAACTTTTCACTATGAAAACATGGCATTACGGGGTAGTGTGATCAAATATATTTAATATCTACATTTACCCAGAAAACATTCCAGTCCTTCAAATCCGTCAACACAGCCATGCAAGCATTCTGCTGTTTCCTGGTTGCAAGTTGCATTCACACATTGAATGCTACATTTGTAGTCACATTTTTCGCCATAGAATCCGTCTTTGCATCCATAAAAACAATTACCTTTAACATCATCACATACGCGCTTGCTTTCATTTGACATGCATGAAGTGGAACATGTTTTGTCGCAAAAAGGTCCATGATGATTAATACTACACCCGTCAGAACAATGTCCCGTTTTCCAATCGCAGCTTTGATTGTTGCAAGTATTACTGCATAGTTTCTCACAATATTCCCCATATGTTATAGTTGATTTGCATCCCTGTAAACAACCACCTGTATCTCTTTCGCAAATTCGGCCATTGTCAGTAAAATTACAATTTGTGCTACAGTTTTGTGAACAATCACCTGAGAATGTGTCGTTAGTACATTCGAAACATTTCCCATCACTTTGACTACATACCACACAATTTGTTCCGCAATTATTACTACAATTTTGTCCCCATTTACCTTGTACACAGCCATTGGTACATATTCCTGGAGTGTCACAAATATTGCCGCTACAGTAGTTTGGACAACTTTTGCATGTGCTATTCATTTTCCCAAAGAGAAAAACGGGATAAAATCCAATTTCACATGCTGTACAGTTCCAATAGTTATCAGGTTCGCTTGACGCACACACTTGGCATTTTTTATCTATATCATTACATAACTTTGAACAATTAACACCATATATTCCATCTTTACATTTTTCACAAAATTCCCCGATGAATCCCGGTTTACACTCTTCGCATCGACCATCACTAAGTGAACAATTCCCATTACAACCAGATGGACAAGTACTTGTACATTTATCTCCATAATACCCGGTATTACACTCGGTACAGTTTGTCGGCGAAACACAAGCTAAACAATTCTCCGTGCAATTTAAATCACAAAAGGTACCATATATTCCAGGTGAGCATGTGTCACATTTATCCCCAATATAATTCGGTTTACATCCTTTCTCACAATTCCCATTACCTTTATTACATGTTCCACCGACACAATTGACTGAACATCTATACTGACAATATGAACCGTAATAAACTCTGTTTTTACACCATGAACATTCTGTTTCTGATGTACAAGTGCCACAGTCAGTAGGACACGTTTTGTTACATTCCTCACCATACTTTAAACCTAAGCAGGCATCACATTTACGTGCGGTAAAGTAAGTAGATTTACATTTACATTCTCCTAATGCAAGCGAGCATGTATTATTGAGACAACCTTTCCCACATTGCAAATTACATTTATTGGTATAATAACCAGGTTTACATTCTGTACATTCATAACCATTAAAACATGTTTTACAATTGTCCAGACACTCGTCTGTGCATTTAGAACCATAATAACCGTCGATACAACCAATAACACAATTCTTGTTGGTATTACAATTATGACTTCCTTTACAACATGAACATTCATTGCATGCCTGTATCGATAATCCTAGAAAATAAATGTAAAATTTTGATCAACATGTTTCAATATGCTTGGTATTGATAACAACATTATTTATAAAGATATTCATCTTATTTTCGAAAGCTGTGTCTTCTTTTACATAATATAATGCTCTGGACTAGTATTTGGGTTTGTTTCATCAAAACAGACTTAAAGATAGAGCATGTCCACAAAGTCAATTTGTCTTTAATCGGAGATAAAATGGTGATATATGTTTTGCTTTATATGACTTTTATTTAAAAAAACAAAACAGAAAAAAACATGTTCGTCTCAATCTTTATGGATAATTGGTAATGTATCTTACGGGTACGACTTATCTGTGTCAATCTTTTATAGGGAAAACACTAGGGTATAATAGCAAATAAACACCATTAAATTTTAATTTCCTTAAGTAGTTCAACTGAGGCACTTTAAAGAGTAAGATATGCAAAAGAAACTTTAGAAAAATGTTCTGAATAAATTAAAAATCGCATTTGTTGTGCTATTATGGCCAAATTTTAGTGAAATTCGTTGCCATGCATTTCAATTTTGAATCAGTTGTTATTTCTGTAATCATTCAGAATAACATATCAATCTATAGAAGACGCATATTTCACTACATTGTAAAGATACTTTTAAAATGAAACTTATTCTTTGTATTGTTATTATAATAAAATACAAAGATCTTTAATTACATGTACTGTTAAACTTATTTAACGATACTTACCGAACTGACTAACTAATACTAAAATAAGAAACACAGATGTTGTCAATCCCATCATTGTGTGAAACAGGTCCCCTGAAATATAGATTGTTCATATCGGTTTTAAAAAAGTTTACAGACATATATGATGTTTAATAATGTATTTGTTTAAACGCAAATCTGTGCAATAACATTCAATATCGCACGAAATAATCAGCGTCTTCAAATATACCAATGGAAACTTAAATGAGTTAATACAGCATTACATCAAGAGAAGATCAGGACAACATTTTGTTCACTCACATATCAAGTGCGAATATGGTGCATAAACTGGAAATGTAAAAAAATTACTTAAAAATGAAAATCTGTAATATGCATGCGGATCTAATATGCCTCTCTTTCTTATCACATCGTTGATGTTATCACATCGTTGTTGTATTCAAACAGTATTCAATTATCTAGTTGTATATCTAATATCCGTTGCTAAACAATTTTATTAATAGTTTAAATTAAAGATATCTCGGTGTAATTATGCACCAATTTTATGGTACATTGTGTTAATCGGCTTGCAGCTGTATTATAACAAAAAATACTCCTGTAATTATATCTCTATAAAATATTTAAACACCTGTAAACTTTTTATCTTAAAAGGAGTCAGGTACAAAATATTACTTACATCGCATCATATCCAAGCACAGGTAAAGATTGTTAAATTGTTAAATTTTTTCATCCGAGAAAGAATCAATCAGAACAAATATATAGTTGACAAATGCAGGCTTGGGTTTGTCAAGTGAAAACTTGAAATGTACAACTAAACACTTAAATATCCAACAATGCATACTTGCAAACGAGAGATATGTGATAGCTGTGTCGGAAGTTTTAAATGTTTTTATTACATGCTTTTCGGTGGTTTATAGAAATATATCAGTGAAATAAAACTGGTATTTTCACTGTTTGAAACAGTGAAATTACCACTTTGATAATTTCACTGTTTTGAATTTAAGCCCGTTACGTTGTTTCAGTGAAATACCAGCGTGCACAGTACTGGGTACCAACTTAATGACGTGACGTCGTAAATGACGTCACGTTGTATTATGATTTGGCGCGCTTTTCATTCAGTATTAGGTTTAATGTCTTTTTAAAACGTTTCTTTGCATTTAATAAAAAGAAAATTTGTTTAGTTTAGAGTAAGATCGAACTCGTGAAATATACCTTTTGGTGCTCACTCGATGAAATATATTCCGATCTTACACTGAACTAAACAAATATCCTCTATATCATACAAAATCATCTTTACTAAAGAAAGGAGGACTCGCTGAAAATATTGCTCAAGCAGTTATTGAATATACGTATAAAACAACAGAAAAATTAGTAATAATATTTTCATATGAAAGATAGCCTAATTAGCTTAAAATGCTTTAAAAAGACTTGAAAACTAATTAACTAGATATAGGAGAACAAAACTGAAAATATTGCTCAAGTAGAAAATGAGTATTAAATATAGAAAAAAAGTAAATTGAAAATAATATTTACGAAATCGAAATAGCTTGATTCGCTTTAATGATTTAAAAAGGATTAAAATAGCCAAAGAACGTCTCAGTATTAGACCCCCTTATATATTCTATATGCCTGTTTAAATTACTACATAGTTTGTAATGGGTTTTTAAAAGTTATTGATATACAAGTAGTTCATATTGATATTTTCTCTACTTTGCCTACTTTACTGTTAAAAATGTGCATTTTAAACTTAAGACTTTTTTAAGACCTTACTTTTATTTATAAGAAATAATTATGTTTTTTCTTCTTATCATTGGAAGTCTAGTTTAAAAAGCAGACGTTTCCTTGGGGTAAACCGCTTTTATTTATTGGAACCAACTATCATCGAAGAAGCTATGCTTATTTATCTTATGTTATCTTAGGGTTAAACTCTTAAAGATCTATTTTATATATCAAATAACCGGTCAATTCTTTATAGATATTTATTATACAGGGGTCAGTATACTCTTCCGAACAATATTATTTTATACGCACTCTATAAACATATCGTGTTTATTTGATCAAAATACACACAAAGGGCACAACCATCTATTTTAAATACTTTAAATGACCCATATCCAACACGTGTTCAATATAATGTCAAAAAGTTGAAAAAGCAATTTCAAAAAAATATGATGAAAGATTGTTAACTAATACTTTAGCATGAATTATAAATAGTTTAGCAAATTAAGTATTATAAGTATTATCTAACATAAATCTTAAATATAAACTCTTTAACATAAAATACCTCTTTAATTATTGAATATCCAAGTCCCCTCTACTTCTTTATTGTATCTGTAGTAAACTACCGCTGTAATGAATGGTTTGAAAGGCAAATAAAAACTACTTCCTTGTTAATTCAAGCACGGAGCGTAATTTCACAATTCATATTTTACCATATTGTACCACTGTAAAGTCATAATTACACTAACAAACAAAATCAGATAACGTTACAGCAAAACGAAGTTAGCGGTGCGGAAAAGTCACTAGGGAGGGGTGCAGAAAAAGCAATAAGGAAGAAGAAATTAAAAGATAAAGACATACACGAAATGATCATTTTAAATTTGATATCGTCCAATCCCCCCCCCCCACACACACGCAAATTCAGCCTGACTCAAAATAAAAAGTCCACAATAACATACTCATATAATATCCTTATTTTTATGATATTTAACAATCCTCTGTATTTAATTTTAATAAAGCATCAAAATTAAAAACATGTCGGTGCATTATTACACCCATTGAAGCGCACCAATGTATAAAAATAAATTATAAGCTGATTTCATGATTTGTAACAGATAATTTGAACACCTTTTCATAGTCAAAATAATCTATTCTGTAAGTATCATATCTCCACATTGACGTCTATAATCAAGAGTTGGTATTTATTCTTTACTTCTCCTCAATGTGTTGTAAATTATTTACAATTGAGTCTTTATAATAAAATATTCAATACAATAATGTTTACATATGTATTATGTATATAGAAGTTTAATATATGTTGTTTATGCATACTTAATACGAGTGACAATGCGTATAATTGTAAATATGTTTTGCTCTCCAAATATGAAGGACATTAAAGTGTCTATCTATCGATTTAAATCGGAATAAATAAACTTAAATTATGTTCAACGGAAACAGGATGTAATAAAGGGACATCCACAAAGTATTTTAGTTTGCAATCATTTAGAATACTTAGTCCAAAGGCACATTATGCCTCAGGAACAAATTATTTTTTACTTTTTTTTAGAAGGAGCAAACATGAATTTTATAATATTTAAATAATACTGTTGGAGAATGTTAGATGCATCTGACCTGAGGAAAGTAGCGGTAAATGTGTCAGCAAATCATTATTTTGAATTCGATACAAAATACTAATTTACTATAACTGTAATTTTGCCAAAAAAGATGGTTCAGGTAATTGACAGTAACTGTTCGTATTTTATAAAAGTACAACGAAATTCAAAAAGCTTTGAGCAATAAAAATAAAAGCATTTCTGAGGCATAGTGGGCTGTAAGGCTCTTAAAAAAACTAAACACAGTGCCCGAGAATTAATATGTAAACCATTAGTCTTTTTTATTCAAGACTTTTATATGCGTTAAAATAAGCATTTTTTTATATGTTGGCGGGCGGCTTCTTGGCCGATACACAGCTCTGTATACCTAACAGGTACGTTTTAACGCTGGCGTTCTTTCAGAATGACTTGTTTCTGTAATGCAAGAAATGTTTTGATAAATTTTGTTTAATTCAGAATCTAAAAAAAAAACGTGTAAAGCTATATCATGTTTTTCTACATAGTGAAAGAGAAGTAAAATAAAGTGTTATCCTAAAGTTGTTTATAAGAACGGATATTTATTTTTTCTTTAGCACAAAGCATATGGCTGTATGTTAAAGTGTATGAACGTGTGTGAATGTCTTATGACCATTCACATTAGAAAACAAAAGCATTGATGTTTGGATTTTTAATACCGAATATATCATTGAAAGGAGAAAATAAAAAATATAAAAAACAACACAAATTATTTTATTAATATGAACACATAAACTAACATCAATTATTATCTAAAACACAAAGGCATAATGGTACTTTTCAAAAATTGCACTGTGAATATAAAAGTCCAAAGACCATAAATACATTGAACTCGATTTGATCGGTTGACTTTGCTGTTTATTTATTATGAAATTTAATATCGTTACTTAAATTTAAAGCGGCTTTCAGCTTTTCTTAAGGTTAAATATGATTTTTTAAGATAAATCGTTTCAAATAATTGTAAATTCAAAAGAATTAAGCTGAAAAATGAAAATTGCCGCCAATAAAATACATATTGAATAAGGAAAGTTTTCGATACCTCAAATCTACCGGCCCGCTCCCTATATATTTAAATTATTACAGCGGACGACTCGTTTCCCCGATCAGGATCTTCTATTCTTAGAAAAAAACATCACTGGCGCGCTATGACTAGCTCTCAGAACGCTGTTTTAAAGAAGGCTTAACAATGATATGATACATTATTCTAAGATAATTTTTTTGAAATACTTAGTTTGAAACAACACCTTGTGATACCTTGTGATGTTTGGGAAACTTTATTAGTCCCCTAACGGACTATCATTCCCCTCGAGTTCCGTTTTCAGTGTCCTCCGCTCCGGTATTGGTCTATCTAATATATATTGTCCATTTTAAATCTCTTCCATTGCCAGTGTTTATCTAACTTAGATTTGAACTCATTTACATTCTTTGATAAAACTATCTCACTGGGAAGTAGGTTCCATTCGTTTACGACTCTATAAGTGAAGGAATTTTGTCTTATTGCCTTTAGTGGTCTTAACTTTTCTAATTTATAAATATGTCCTCGGATTTCATGATTAGTAACAGATAATTTGAATAACTTTTCATAGTCAAAATCGTCTATTTTGTGAATAAGTTTAAAAACTTGTATCATATCTCCACGTTGACGTCTGTATTCAAGAGTTGGTAAATTCAAAGCCCTTAATCTTTGTTCATATGTGAGTCCTCTTAGTTCAGGGATGATTCTTGTAGCTCTTCTTTGGGTATTTTCCACTAGTTGTTTATTTTTCTTTGTTACAGGGTAATAAATGATATTTCCATAATCAGTGATTGGTCTTATAAGACCTTTATACAATAACAAAAATTGCTTCTTATCCATGTGAACAAAATTTCTTTTCAGCAACCCGATATGTGAGTTTACTTTATTCACAGTGCGACCGATGTGCTCATCGAATTTCAAATTAGACGTAAAATTAATACCTAGGTCTTTTTCCTTGTCAATGATTTCAATATCAACATCAATACCAGTGTTGTCTTTCATTTTGTATTTTGTATCAAAATTGCTGTTTCCAATCCGCATTATCTTACATTTGCTAGAGTTGAATCTGAGTAACCAGTCGTCACTCCATTTACATAGTGTATTAATGTCATTTTGAAGTACTTGTTGATCAGACATATTTCTCATAATTCGATATAATTTTGTATCATCAGCAAAGAGTCTACAAACACATTTAACTGCTTCAGGAATATCACAAAATTATATATATATATACATGTATATATATATACATGTATATATTTTTGTCAACAAAAATAAAAGCTGAAGGCCGGTTTAATTTGTAATATACCTCATCTTACTTATTGTATTATTGTTTTCTTGTCCTACACAATTATAGTTGATTTTGAACAATATGTAGAAAAATCTTTAAAATGAGAGATTCATCGGGAGCGGTGAAGAAAAAACAATAAAGATTAAAGGTGAAAATCGAAGACACGGTGTGATTGTGCCTGTTCATGCAACTTCTCTGTGCCCAGAATACTGCTTGTCTTATGTCGCTATTTTATTAAGAGCAGAATTTGAATTCAATCAGAATGTTAGTTTTCCATGCATAGATTTTAATTGTTTCTGTGATGTTTTTTGGTTGTTTTTTTAGGGTCGAGGACATCTCATTATTTCCTCTAAAATAAGGCTTTGGGTAGGCAAATTTGCTTTACTTAACTGTAGCCTTTCAGCTTCTGCTATTGCACCTTTAGTGAGTGTATAAAACGCTTTCACCATTTATATTTTCATAGTATTATTAAGAATTTGGGTTTTAAATACTTGTGAAACAATTTATATCTTTTCGTTTTTATAGCAATTCATTTAATGCATTTGAGTGGATTACTGATTTATCCGTGAAAACTAAATTTGATAATTTCACAGGGAAAGTTATCAAAATATAATTTCACACTTCAATGAAGAGCCTACATTTTAAAGATTTCTCTCATGTGATACTTCAGTTTTATTTTTGCTTACCATTCTGACAGTGTCAGGGTTGTTTAGAGCATACAAAAGCTAAAATTGATTAAATAGCTTAAATTTAAAACATATTATATCAATAAAAACTCATACAGCACGTTTGTGTATTTATGTGTTACTTTGTTAAAGTTACATTAAATAAATATGTAAAAATATTTTGCCGTCGGTCTAATAACCAAGCATTCTACTGTTTTATTAACCTTTTTAATAGTATTGTTGTAAATCTCATCAAATATTGTTCATAAATTACGATTTTAAACGGAAAACCCCACGGTAACACTAAAGTTCGTATACGAATTTTAACATGCAAATGAAGACTATAATCAGTTCATGTATGTGCTACGTCACAGTGTTATAGTTGCTATACAGAACAGCAAATACGAGATTTTCATGTGCATACACACTTTAACCGTTTTAGTTTCACGGTGCACTTGGCATGGCATTCAGGAAAGAGTAATCATCTCATAAAAATATTAAATTTGTATGAAAACAACCGTTACAAAGCGTAAATATACCGTTATATGAGGACTGCTACTTATGATCATGTTTGTTGATTTAATATTGATGTACAGATGATCCGAAGGCGGAGTTTCTCATGCAAATTCGGATTTCGCCAGTGAGGTTGCAGATGTTTATGCTTATAAAACTCATTTTGGTTACCTTGGCACCATTAAAAGATATGGAGTCGATATGTAACCAAATTTACTAATGAAATGTCGCTATTTCTTTTTTTAAGAAATTCATTTAATGTAGCTTTAATGACCACATTTACAGGGGTTTTCAATTTCACAGATTTTTCTACTTGAAAATTCACATGATTTCAATACATGACATTTTTAGCATTTTATACTTCGAATTTTTTTTGAGGACCTTTTTCCTGTAGCAACACATACGCTATAGTAGATAACAAAATTAAAATGCAAATATCTTTTCTGATGGAATTTATTTGAGGCTGGGTCTTATTTTGCCTAGCCTACTCTAATATTACATGTTAACAGTCTGGAATACATTTCCTTCCACATACAAAACTGCTTTTGATGACATTTTGGGCTGAGTTAAATATCAAAAGAGCAATAACTGTAATGCAATGTGTTAAAGCAATGACAATCAACAGACCAAAGGGTAAGTAACAACCAGCGTTCGTTAGACAGCCTTTCAAAAAATCCATGTTTTCTCTTCAATTTCCTAGTGGTTTCTAAAATGTTTTCTCAACTGCAAACAATTGTGTTTCTTTCTTATGAATGTATGTAGAATTAACAAACCGAAATGTAATCCCTCTGAATCAAATATAGCTAAAAAAGACTTCATTGAACAGGTTTTATAGTGCTGCTAGACCTGTTTGCTGAAGCCAATCCCGTATCGAAAGTCAACCAGAATTATGACATATTTATGTTATGCTGTAATTCAAGGCTATTTTAATACAGGTAGTTAAGTATACATTTCAGTCTATATTTCTGAGCAAAGAAGGTTGGATTGACTTTTTCTTATTCTAGAACTGTTTGTTTTAATTATTAAATAAGCGATAATTCTTCTTTTTTGTACAAAATAGATATCATCACCATATAACGTTAATTTCTGGACTTATTTTCTTGCTCAACACTTCATGTATTACGAAAAAATACCTCTAAAATTGAGGGCCACCAGCGGATAAACATGTGATATCGAGGAAATTTCATTTAAACTTGTATTTACTTTGCTTTTAAGATGTTATTTTTTCTTATCTCGTGAACTTCAGAAACAGTAATTCTCGCAAGCGGCGCAATATACTGTTTTTTAAAGCTCACTCGATGAAATAAAATGTTCATGTTACACAAAAACAAACAACTATCCTTTATGTTTAGGTGAATTTTTCACATCTACCGGATAATGTTATCTACAAAATTTTCTTCTTCTTTTCTTTTTATTGGTTGGGTTTTACGTCGCATTAATAAAGATGTGGTCACATTGCGACTTTTCCAGATAAACTGGTGGAGAAAGACCTTCAGGTGGCCCTCCGCCACCAATAAAACTGGAGGGTCGCCAAATGGAGATAATCTAAATATCATAAAACAAATGTTATGGTTTAAAATAATTACTTTCTAGCAAGACCCTAGCTGCCACTTGTTTAAGAATCAATCGATTTACATTGAATTTAGCAGAGCTCTATAACAGCATCTTTCATGGGCAAGCTGTTAATCAGTTTACCAGTACAAATTGCCTTCACTCTCTCACCTTCTGTACATGCAAGAGCACAGGTACAGTTTGAATGGCCATAGAAAGGATTTCATGATCATGCAATCACAATGAAAGTGAAATGCAACGTTCGGGAACCTTCTCAAAATTTTGTGATGCACTGGTAAAAATTCCTGATTTTACGCCTCTTTATTGATACGACAAGTACTAGTAAATAAGGCTAATCAGTACTGTCTGGTTGGCTCCATAGGAAGAGCATTGGACTATGGATCGAGCGATCCGGGTTCGATTATCAGTTCCTTGCGAAGGCAACTAATACTGGTAAACAGCCTACCCAGGTTCAATGCAGTGGCTGAAATGTGCTCTTGTAAATTCAATGTGGCTTACTGCCGTGACAACGTGAGTGAAAATTATCAACACCACCAGCATCGCCACTAATTAACCAATATAAATACATGTTATATAACTTAGCAATAAATAATAAGTAAACTCACAGAGTTTCAAAATACAAAATTATGCCATTTTATTTTTACAAAAACATACATACATGGAGATTTGTTTTAATTCATATCTACATTAAAACATGTAAACATTAAAAAAAACTTTGTACAATGAACAATGTGATTAAAAAAGCAAGAAATTTAAATATTTTGCTCCATCAACATGTCATCATTTTGAAAACAAGGCCTTATTTTGTTTCATGTCAGGTGAACTTCATATCTTGACCTTTATCTAGCAAAAGAAGTATGAAAGGTTTACTTTGTAATATTAACAACCTTTTTTAGTGATAACTTTTTATTTTTTCAATACACAAGTTTTTAATATTATCACAGCAAATCCAATCCTTGCAGAACAACCTAATAACAAACAATGAAGTTCTTAAACAAGAGGGCCATGATGGCCCTGAGTCGCTCATCAGAAACAACTGCTTTTCAGTGTTGAAATGTCAATATATTTTAATATTAATATTAAATTTGAGCATAGAATATGTTTAAACAATAATTTGAAGAAATGCCATGACCTGGGGCATTTAAGCTTTAGCTTAAACGGGGCTAATCAAATTAATATGAGCAAACTTGATAAAAGACTACCTAAGAATGCTACAAAGTTTGGTGATCATCTATCAATTATTTCAGTAGGAAATGAAGTTCGAAGGTTTTTTCTTCTTTAAGCTTTAGTGGCCCCTAAAAGGAGCTAATCAAATTAATATGAGCAAACTTGATAAAAGACTACCCAAGAATGCTACAGACAAAGTTTGGTAATCATTCATTAGTTAGTTCTGTAGGAGAAGTGTTTAAACGTATTTCTATTTTTAATTTTAGCGGCCTCTAAAAGGGGCTAATCAAATTAATATGAGCAAACTTAATAAAAGACGACCCAATAATGCTACAGACTAAGTTTGGTCATCATTTAGTTCTGTAGCAAAAGACGTTTAAATGTTTATCTATCTTTAATTTTAGCGGCCCCTAAAAGGGGCCAGTCAAAATAATATGAGCAAACTTGATAAAAGACTACCCAACAATGCTTCAGACAAAGTTTGGTGATCATCCATCCATTAGTTCTGTAGAAATAGACATTTAAAAGTATTTCTATTTTTAGCTTAAGCGGCCCCTAAAACGGACCAATCAAATTAATATGAGCAAACTTGATAAAAGACTACCCAAGAATGCTACAGACAAAGTTTGGTGATCATCCATCGATTAGTTCTCTAGAAATAGACATTTAAAGGTATTTCTATTTTTAGCTTTTGCGGCCCCTAAAAGGGGCCAATCAAATTAATATTAGCAAACTTGAAAAAAACTACCCGAGAATGCTACCCACAAAGTTTGGTGATCATCAATCAATTAGTTCTGTAGGAGAAGATGTTCAAAGTTTGTTTTTTTCTATTAGCCGTATAGACCCCTAAAAGGGGCCAATCAAATAATATTAGCAAACTTGATAAAAGACTACCCAAGAATGCTACAGACAAAGTTTGGTGATCATCCATCAATTAGTTCTCTAGAAATAGACATTTAACAGTATTTTTATTTTTAGCTTTAACGGCCCCTAAAAGGGGCAAATCAAATTAATATGAGCAAACTTGATAAAACCCTACCCATAAATGCTACAGACAAAGTTTGATGATCATCCATCCATTAGTTCTGTAGGAGAAGATGTTTAAAGTTTTTTTTCTATTTTTAGCCCTTGAGACCCCTAAAAGGGGCCAATCAAATTAATATGAGCATACTTGATAAAAGACTACTCCAGAATGCTACAGACAAAGTTTGATGATCATCCATCCATTAGTTCTGTAGGAGAAGATGTTTAAAGTTTTTTTTCTATTTTTAGCCCTTGAGACCCCTAAAAGGGGCCAATCAAATTAATATGAGCATACTTGATAAAAGACTACTCCAGAATGCTACAGACAAAGTTTGATGATCATCCATCCATTAGTTCTGTAGGAGAAGATGTTTAAAGTTTTTTTTCTATTTTTAGCCCTTGAGACCCCTAAAAGGGGCCAATCAAATTAATATGAGCATACTTGATAAAAGACTACTCCAGAATGCTACAGACAAAGTTTGGTGAACATCCATCATTTAGTTCTGTAGGAGAGGATGTTTAAATGTTTTTCTATTTTTAGCTATGTTGACCCCTAAAAGGGGCCCAATTGAAATGACATGAGCAAATTCAAGTGTGACTGTCACAAGGATGTTACAGACCAAATTTGAAGTGAATCTGCCCAGCAGTTTCATAGAGGACGATTGTTGGCGGATGACGACGGACGATGGACGCGGGAGTATCCCCCTTTGATACTAATAGTTCACCCTGAGCCTTCGGCTCTGGTGAGCTAAAAAAGGTCCATAACTCAGTCAAAATCAAAGTAAGAATCATAGGACTTTACTATGCTTTAAAATAAGTGTGTTGAGTTTCAACCTATTCCCTTCAATAGTTTTGGAGATACCAAACCGCAACAAAAATTTTAATCAAGCTGTGACCCCTTCGTTAGTACAATAGCTGTCCCTATTCTTTAACAAGAGGGCCATGATGGCCCTGAGGTCGCTCACCTGTATATAGGCCCCCCAACCCTCACCCCCCCCACCCCCCAACGTTGCAGGGCCAATTTAACCCAAGGGCTTTTATTTGCACAAACTCGGTAGAACACCCATAAGAAGATGTTTCATGCTAAACATCTAAGCTCTAGCTCATTGGGCTTTTTGAAAGAAGATTTTTTTAAAGTTTTTACTACACATATATAGTTAAAAACAATGACACCCCTGGGGCCGGGCCAGTTTTGACCCCAGGGCTTTTATTTGAACAAACTTGGTAGACACTTACTAGAAGATGTTTCATGCTTAATATCTAAACTCTAGCTATTTGGGTTTTTTCAAAGAAGATTTTTTAAGTTTTTGCTATACACATATAAGGAAAATCAATGACCCCCGGGGCGGTGCCAATTTTGACCCCAGGGCTTTTATTTGAACAAACTTGGTAGACACCTATTAGAACATATTTGATGCTAAATATCTTAGCCATAGCTCTTTGAGTTCTTTAAAAGAAGATTTTTTAAGTTTTTACTATATGCATATAGGGAAAATCAATGACCCCATGGGGTGGGGCCAATTTTGACCCCAGGGCTTTTATTTGAACAAACTTGGTAGACACCTATTAGTACATGTTTGATGCTCAATATCTTAGCCATAGCTCTTTGAGTTCTTTAAAAGAAGATTTTTTAAGTTTTTACTATATGCATATAGGGAAAATCAATGACCCCCCGGGGCGGGGCCAATTTTGACCCCAGGGCTTTTATTTGAACAAACTTGGTAGACACCCATTAGAACATGTTTCATGCTAAATATCTTAGCTGTAGCTCTTTTGGTTCTTTAAAAGAAGATTTTTTAAGTTTTTACTATATGTATATAGGAAAAATCAATGACCCCCTGGGGCGGGGCCAATTTTGACCCCAGGGCTTTTATTTGAACAAACTTGGTAGACACTCACTAGAAGATGTTTCATGCTAAATATCTAAGCTCTAGCTCTTATGGTTTTTTAAAAGAAGATCTTTTAAGTTTTTACTATATGTATATAGGGAAAATCAATGACCCCCCCCCCCGGGCGGGGCCAATTTTGACCCAAGGGCTTTTATTTGAACAAACTTGGTAGACACTTATTAGAACATGTTTCATGCTACATATCTTAGCTTTAACTCTTTTGGTTCTTTAAATAAAGATTTTTTAAGTTTTTACTATATGCATATAGGGAAAATCAATGACCCCCTGGGACGGGGCCAATTTTGACCACAGGGCTTTTATTTGAACAAACTTGGTAGACACTAATTAGAACATGTTTCATGCTAAATATCTTAGCCATACCTCTTTGAGTTCTTTAAAAGAAGATTTTTTAAGGTTTTTACTATATGCATATAGGGAAAATCAATGACCCCCCGGGGCGGGGCCAATTTTGACCCCAGGGCTTTTATTTGAACAAACTTGGTAGACACCCATTAGAACATGTTTCATGCTAAATATCTTAGCTGTAGCTCTTTTGGTTCTTTGAAAGAAGATTTTTTAAGTTTTTACTATATGTATATAGGGAAAATCAATGACCCCCTGGGGCCGGGCCAATTTTGACCCCAGGGCTTTTATTTGAACAAACTTGGTAGACACTCACTAGAAGATGTTTCATGCCAAATATCTAAGCTCTAGCTCTTATGGTTTTTTAAAAGAAGATTTTTAAAGTTTTTTCTTTCGGTTGCCATGGCAACCAGAGTTCTGCATGGAATTAAATTCTTTGAACAATTTTTAAAGGTGACCACCAAAGGAACATTCCTGTGAAGTTTGGATGAAATTGGCTTAGTGGTTTATGAGGAGATGTCATTTAAAGTAAAAGTTTACGGACGGAAGGACGGACGCCGGACGAAAAGCGATCACAAAAGCTCACCCTGTCACTTTGTGACAGGTGAGCTAAAAAGTCCAGCTACAAAATGTTCTGAAAAATATTTTTAAAAGATAATAATGACAATAATTTGCTTTCAAAGATAAACACAAGCAATGTCTAATTCAAATATAAAACAATTTTCAACAACAATAAACAATGGTTTTTGAACAATTTCAAATAACGAACATGTTTTTGCATTATATTTTCAAATTATAAACTTTTTACCAGTGGCGCCTTTAAACAGTTTTTGAACAATTTCAAATAACGAACATGTTTTTGCATTATATTTTCAAATTATAAACTTTTTACCAGTGGCGCCTTTAAACAGTTTTTGTACATCCCAGCATTGTTGTTTTGTTTATGCATATATATTTGATGGAATGTTATTCAGAAAGTGAAGCTTCATACAAAAATGTAAAAGTTCATGGAAATTTATGTTGTAATTACAGTCTTGCTTTATGACTGACCCTTTATTGCGTGCAAATCGATCACGACTGGGGTTTTTTCCATTCCCATTTTTTCCCCTTCATCATTGCTGTATTCACAACAAGTCACATGGCGCCCATAAAACAGTGCAATTACATTCTACCATTCTAAATTTGTAAAATGAGCTGGTCCGACTTTGAATTTAGAACTGTCCATTGTTAGTAAAAAAGAATTCAGTATACAAAATAATGCTAAAATCGAACAGCTAGCAGTATAAAAAAAGTCTGACCAAACAACACAGACGTGCAGGCTGGCCTGGATGCTCTAGTACACAAGTTTATAATGCTGCTAGCTTTCAGAGAAAAAAACAAAACAACTTAATGAAAAAACAACACTGTTCCCAAACGTCTGCCATATCAAGATGGCTTCTTCACGACAAAGAAGACACTGTCATAAGTGTAGTGTAACATCGAGTTCAGACTCTGTGTGTATGTGGATTTCACATTCTTCTCCTCTTTCTGTAATGAAAAGTAGCATAAATAGTTTAAATAAAGGGACTCCACTGAGGTTTTTGACATGATGGGGCTGGAAATATTTTTCTGAAATTTGCGTACCATTAGATGAAGGTCTAGACCAATAACTTGTGATCATTCCCTCACCCTGTTTTTCAAGAATAATCATTTTTATTGTGCAAAATGAATCAAAAATGAAAAGTGTTAAAATGCTTTTCACACAAATCGGGCTAAGAATCACACAACAGTTGATACATGAACTCAGTTTAATTCTAAGTATATTTCTTGATTATCCTTTGTAGATTTTTCTGTTTTTTAAGGGATACTTAAGCAAATTTTGACAAAATATTAAAATGATCTTATGTACTCAAAATCACGCTAAAATGATATTTTTTAAAGTCCCACCATGAATTTCTGTATCAATTCTATATAAATACGGTTTAAAATGTAAATATATTTATATATGTTCAATGAAATTTAGAGGCCGATAGAATCACCCAGTAGTTTTTAAACAAGTCATGTGACTTGAACAAACCCTGGAAGTCAAAATAACAGATATTGTATGATTGAAACAGGTTTAAGTCATTCATTTCACATGTTCTTTAACATTTCCAGAATTCACTGTGACAACAATTGTAAAATCTTAACACTATAACCTGACCCACGTGTGTCAAGTTAGAAAACCATAATTTTATTCTTTATAGGGTGAACAGTTTTGTTCCTGTGCTGCCTAGTGTATTCATTTTGATGATATTTACAACAATGAGGGGCAAGTGGTTTGAAGTCAACAACCATAACTCGGCCACAGATGCCCACGTGAAAGAAATAAGTCCCAAAAAGGATTCCTTATAAATCATAAAAAGAATATTTGCCAAGTTATGATTTTAAGAAAAGAATAGACAAAAAACGTTTCAATTTTAGAAAAAAATCAAAAGGATACTTACTTCAAAAACAAAGCCTATTTGCTCAATCACTCGTTTCACCTCATCATAACTCAGTTCTATGGACATCTCATTGGGCATATCCGAATAATGGTACAGCAAGGGACCTACATGGACAAAAATAGAACACTGTAATGATGATAGTGTAAAATTAACTAAAATTTCAACCACTTATTTACCAAGAAATGAACCACCAAGAAATGAACCATTTACTTATTTCAATAATCAAGCATTCAAAAATATTAACTTACCAAAAATTTACCAACCATCTAATATAAACTAACATATATTTATATTTAACAAGCTTTCAAAAATTAACTATAATTTAACAAGCATCTAAGAATACTTTAAAAGATTCATCAATCATGCAAAAATTAAATGACTGAGATTTATATTAACTTGTACAAACTTGACAAGATTTACCAAGCATTAAAATTATAAACTTACCAAGATATACCCTGGGTACTCAACAATTCACTTACCACAAATCAGTAAGCATCAAACAATTAATTTACCAAGCAATGAACATTTAACTTACCAACATTTACTAAGCATTCAACATTTAACTTCTTAAGATTTACCAAGCCTTTCATAGACTTACCAAGCAATGAACATTTAACTTACCAACATTTACTAAGCATTCAACATTTAACTTCTTAAGATTTACCAAGCTTTTCATAAACTTACCAAGCAATGAACATTTAACTTACCAACATTTACTAAGCATTCAACATTTGACTTCTTAAGATTGATCAAGCCTTTCATAAACTTACCAAGCAATGAACATTTAACTTACCAACATTTACTAAGCATTCAACATTTAACTTCTTAAGATTTACCAAGCTTTTCATAAACTTACCAAGCAATGAACATTTAACTTACCAACATTTACTAAGCATTCAACATTTAACTTCTTAAGATTTATCAAGCCTTTCATAAACTTACCAAGCAATGAACATTTAACTTATCAACATTTACTTAGCATTTAACATTTAACTTAGTAAAATTTACCAAACATTTTTCATAAACTAATATCAAGCAATAAACAATTAACTTATGGTTCAACATTTAACTTATTGAAAATTAACTAGAATCTCTCATAAACTTACCAAGCATCAAACAATTCACTTAACAAGATTTACTAAGCATTCAACAATTAACTTATTAAGATTTACCAAGCATCTTTCATAAACTTACCAAGCAATAAACAATTAACTATAATACCAAGATATACTAAGCATTCAACATTTCACTTAGTAAAATTTACCAAATGTCTCTCATAAACTTACCAAGCAATAGACAATAAACTTACCAATTTACTAAGCATTCAATAATTAAGTTATTAACATTTACCAAGCAACTCTAATAAACTTACCAAGCAATAAACAATTAACTAATACCAATATTCACTAATCATTCAACATTCAACTTATAAACATTTAACTTAATAAGATTTACTAAGCATCTTTCATAATCTTACTAATCAATAGACAATAAACTTACCAAGATTTACCCAGTATCCACCAGGTTTTAGGATTTTGTAAATTGTTTCTATGTAAGCAATTATGTTGTGAGCAGTATCGATAAAAAATACTGTAGCCAAACAATCCCAGGTTTCTGAAAAGTCAACAGAGAGTTATATCAATAAAACAAAACATATCTTGAGAGAAGTTTAAACAAAAATTTCATTAGGCCAGCAATAAAAATATATTTGTTTCTCCCATCTACAACCTATGCCAGTTTAGGTAAGATACATTGGTAAAAAATGTTATCTAAAATATTTTAGTTGAACTAACTGTATATGGATTTCACAAAAAAAAAAAGAATTTGTTAAAGGGACTCCACTGAGGTTTTTTAACATAACAGGACTGGAAATAATTTTTCGGGATTTATGTTCCATTTGAAGTAGGTCTAAACCAATAACTTGTGTGCATAATTTGAAATCATTCATTCTCTCCATTTTTCCAGAATAATAATTCTAATTGTGAAAAATGACCTACAATGCTTTTCAGTCAAATCGGGCTTAGAATAACTAAAAAATATGAGTTTCAATATATTTCTGGGTATGTTTTTTTTCAAAAATGATTTGCAAATTTGTCTGTGTTAAGTTACCCAGCCCATCAATGTAAGAAATTCATATTTTATGTTTTAGACTTAGACCTCAGTGGAGTTCCTTTAATGCTTAAGCTTGTCAAGAGCCATATTTTAGTTTTAGTCGATATCATAATCATATAAAATATTCCAGTTTGTATACAATTTACTTATAATGCATAACCATCAAATAAATTTCAATATTCTCTTTCACATACCCTGCTTTGATGTTCAAGTCTAAAAAATATTTCTTTGTTCAGAGATAATTTGTTTTGGGTGGCAGTGATATTAGATGGTAGATAATGGTAAAGGGGAACAGTGGGAGAGGGAACTAACAATATTTTAATCTAGGCCTTAATTTTGATGTTGCTTCAAAACAGCTATATTAAAGAAGATATGGGAAAAAAATTGTTATTGACTTTGACCTTTGACCCAGTGAAGCTAAAACAATTTGCAAAGCAAGAAAATTTATCTTAACACATTAAGACAATCATAAGTATATATAAGTACCATGGAACCTACTCTGCCTATCTTATTGCATTGCAACCTACCTGAATATAGGACATCGAAGATGCCTGTTTGTTCCTGAAATAATGCAAGGAAGGATACATGAGGCCTTCCTCCACCAGTAAAGCTGTAACGACGCAATATGAACTTTACTGTGTCGGCGTGACATAAAACCCAATTAAACAAACAAACAAACCTGGATCTTGATAAACCTCTAGGAAATCTCCTGCTGCCATTGAAAACTGTACATTTTCCGGTATGGTGGAGGTATCGATATCAGGAAATGTGATAGCTTCGGTCTGGTCCTCATTTGTCATATTGTTCGTCCACTGATGTACCCACGGATGAAGTGTGTGTGTGTCCATGGACTTACATCTGTAACAAGATTGTTTGCTATTTCTTTCAATCTAAAAGAAATCATTACGTGTTAATGAATGTATATACAGTAACTGTACAGTCACTGAAAAATACATTGTCTAGAGATATATTTTTCAGCATACTGTATAAGTACTTATTTCTGCAGCTTAATATTCTGCGATTTTTGTTAAAATAAAGGGTGTTAAATTTTTAATGAAAGTCACTTTGACCTTGACCTTTATTCCACTGACCTAAAGACCTACATTCTACTAACTTTAAGATCAACAGGAGCTATCTCCAAGTCTTAGGATTGTAAGTCAAATGTTTTCTAGTTACTGATCTGACTGGCTATTTTTGAAGTCAAGGTCATCATATGGCAAGGTCATAGTGACCTTGACCTTCAAAAGACTTACCTAACGAAGGCATGAAAAGCTTTCTTAACATTACATAAGATTGTGGGTCATGTTGTTCTAAAGTTTGTAATCTGATGACCTGAAAAGCGTTTTGTGTGTGATCAAGGTCACTGACCTTACTGACCTCAATTGCCATTTGACCTACTTACCTCAAAGTCAATAGAAGTCATCAAAGGTCATGACAGTGACATTTTTAATTTTGATGGCATGTGAGTTGTTTTTGGCACTAACATTCAAGTGCATAATTATGCCACAAAATATGTACAAGATCTTTTTTAATGGAATGCAAGGACCAAAGCTGCAATGGAATTAAATTTTATTATGATGGACAAAGTCTTTATTTCTCTAAAGTTACATTTGTATTTCTTTTCATCCAACATAAATTTTACATTTACTTTTATTTATCAAAAGGTTATAGTATAAAAAATAGAAACTGAATTATCATTATCTGTTATAAATTATTATTCACTTTTTGTAAATGAAGTTTGTTTACAATGTATTTATTTTCCTGGTTTTGGTCAAACAAGTATCTCAGCATAGGTCCACCTAACAGACTTTGCTGCTGGAAAACTAACCTGCAATCACCAATTTCTCTGTAAATGACTGACTACTGATCCCCCAAGATTTCTGAGTAAGGGGTGAAAGACAAATGGCCAATAGACACAGCAGATCAACTGTCACATAAAAATGTCACCTGACCTGAGGATCAAACCAGAGCCCCCTGGATTACAAATATTATGCTCTCCCAATTGTTATAAGAAAGAGATTTACATCATTTTCGAATGGATGCAGGCTGTGTAATAACAGGGGTCCAACCACTTATTCAAGGTTTTCAAACACTAATTTAAGCAGTTCATTTCCTTACTTATACTCAATTATTTACTGATCATAACTTAAATGTAGCGAATGCTTTATTACATAGGTGCAAGATGAAAATTTGGAAAAACCTGAAAACTGTAATTTAAAATCATTTTCCTACATAATCTAATAGTAAAACATGATGGAATTTGTCATAATAAAAACCTGAGCTACAGGCATATGCCTGAAAACTTGCACCCATATTATTATGATTTTAAGTAAAATCTAATAAGCCAGTATTTTATTTTTGTGTATCCCTTTTGATGCATGGGGCAATGAATTGTGCATCAACATAAGACTTTTTAGGGGGAATTTTGATGCAGGATTGATGTATGGGGCAATGAATTGTGCATCAAAATAAGACTTTGGGGGGGGCATTTTGCTGCAGGCTTCTGCATCCAGTAAATTGGTGTGTAATTAAAGCAACACACTCACTTGTTGAGGACAAAGTTTGATGAAAACAGCATGAATAAACTCCATTCATTTCCTTGACAATTGTATCCCCGTCTTGCTAGCTCAAATGCAAGCCTGCCCAGACCAGCACCGGGTACCAGAATGTGGACACCGGAAGTATCTCTAAAAGACAAAAGAGATTTATTTTTCTATATTCACCAACAATACTAAATAACATTATACCAAAAATACAAAATTCCAAATATTTTATCATATGATGCAAAACTAGCATTATTTCTACATGTATATTGTTTTTATAAAATATAATATTCAAAATACAACTTTCTTAGCCTTGATGTTAACAGTGTTTGGCCTATTTCACAAGTATAAAGACACACTAGTAAGCACTACTGTGTTAGCACAACTCTTCAGTGTTTCCTTAATTGTCATTGATGTTTAGTCTGACCTCACCTGGGAATGGATCAGTCAGCCATTTTGGCAATATTTTCATAATTCCTTAGTATGCAGTCATTTATGTGCAGTCTGACCTGGGAATGGGTCATGTTCAGCCAAATTTGCAATATTTTCATCATGAAATTGTCATTTGGACTCCAGTTTTGAACAAATAGTTTTTTTTGCAATTGGGCATTGATCAGTTTATGGGATCTATCTTAAATTCTTAGGAAAAACAAAACACAATACACATTAAATAAGTTTAGAAACTTACACAAATTCTTTCGGAAACCGTGCCTCTATCTCGTGTATGACCGGCTCGTAACACGCCTTTCTCTCGTGCTCCCCGGCCTCGCTCCAGTCCCGAACAAACTGTTTCAGTGTTGTCTTCACCTTGTCCAGGTCAGACACCAATGGTACTAAAGCTTTTATATCACCACCATTCTGTTTTGATATAATATTGTAAAATTGATTAGGTACCTTATTCTTATTGTAAACTGTAACTTGTATACATATTCTATGAATTAAAATATATATTTAAGCTAATTTATTTTTCAAAAGCTAACATTTCTGATGATATGATATTGTAAGACTTATTAGATAACTTATTTTTATGAAGAAGAATTTTACAAGACTTTGTCTTCCATTTGAGTAAGAATATTTAAAATTCTTTGTAATTATTGTTAACTGTACAGGCCTCGACAATAACTTTTTTAGCAGGTGGTTAGCCGGACCACTAGATTTGAAATTAAGGTGGTCCTTCCAGGAGTCAGGTGGTCAATTATTATTAATATGTCATTTTACTGCAAAATTAGAAAAAAATATGTTTAAAATTGATGACAAAGATGTATCATTAACCTTAAGAAAACAGACATTTTAGATATATATTTTTATCTAATCAGAAATAAAGGAGAGCAAGTTAGCAGGTATTTTATCATAAAGTTATTTGGTTTTTTATATGTCATTCAAAAATACACAACAGGGCTCTTATTTATGTTAACTTTTATATAGAAATGATTTCTCTCTCAACTCAAGTTAGGGAATAGTGAAACAATTTGTGTCTGTAATTTTCTTATTCAATTTGTTATTCATATATTCATTGCTGATATGTGGTACGACTTTAATTATGATAATTACATGTATCTTTTATAGATGAACATTTTTAATAAAACTAATAAAGTATCTTAAAACAAGGAAATAGCTAAAAATAGGATAAAAAAATAATACTAATGTTATATATAACTATAGTTTAGCTTATTTTTCTCACAGATGTATAATACCAAATTTTTACCTCCCTGTTGCTTGTTGGTTGATACTTATTTTTAACATGAGTATTTTAAACCTTTTAAAGTAATTTTAACTCTGAAGGAAATGGATCTCTATCATTAAACAGTTAAAATAAAGATATTAAGTAGCAAAGAATTACTAGATGTATTTTTTCCAGTTCCTTTTGTTTGCTGCCATTTTTAAAGTATATGAAATTTTAAGTTTATCTTATATCCCATATAATATCATTATTACCATCGTCGGATGCCCACGGTTAATTAACATGTAATATAACATAAATGTTACTGGTTCCACCGTAGGTATCCGACGATGCATAATTATTAGCATCATTTGAATGAATTTTGTACCTTAATTGATATCACAAAGTCTAAACTCTTTTAACTTGCATAAACCAAATTTTAGCGACTTAAAATGAAAGTTATAGATGACTTAAGAACTTCTTTAACTAATCAGATAATTAATGAACCATATACATGTACATTGGACAAACGATTTTAAAGAAAATGTTTATAACATGTTTTTGACCAAATCACCATTCTCCCAAATGAGTCTGCACCAACCAGAAAATTCAAGTGGTCCGACGGACCAGCGGCTTTTAAAATTAAGTGGTCCTTGCCAAAATCACGTGGTCTCGGACCAACGGACCACCGCTAATGTCGAGGCCTGCTGTAACATGCATATGTATTCTGAGAAGTAAAATATATATAAACTACTTTATTTTTTAATAGATAACATTTCTAAATTATTTTCTTTTAATCATAAGGGCATTGTCCAGTGGTGGCATGGTCGAGTGGTTAACGCCTCGGACTAGTAATTTAATGATTGCTAGACACATGGGTTCAAACCCCGTCGGGGGCAAGTCATTGTTTCCTTGAGCAAGAAACTTTTCACTAATTGCTCAGTACTGGTTGGTTCCAGGAACGGATTCGAAAGTGTGTCTATAAGCTTATAGCTTCCTACACAATCAAACTAAAATAAATTTTGTATTAACCAATCCTAAAGGCATCCAAACATTTTTAAGTCATGAAACAGTTTCCTTTCATTTTGTCAAAACAGTTAATTGGCATATTTTTCACACACATCGGCCACATATGTGAGCCTTCTCATTGTCAAAGATTCTTCATTTCATAAATTTAAGGAATAAAATTAATATGTAATAAAAGGAGCTGGTTGGTTTTGGTTGGTTGGTATATAGGTTGGTTTGTTTGTTTGTTTGGTTGGTTGGTTCATTGGATGGATGGTTGCTTGGTTTGTTGGTTGGTATTTAGGTTTAGTCCGTTGGTATTTATGGTTGGTTGGTTGGTATTTATGGTTGGTTGGTATTTAGGTTTGGTTGGTTGGTATTAAGGTTTGGTTCGTTGGTTGGTTATTAAGGTTTGGTTGGTTGATTAGTTGGTTGGTTGGTATTTAGGTTTGGTTGTTTGGTATTAATGGTTGGTTTGGTTGGTATTTATGGTTGGTTGGTATTAAGGTTTGGTTGGTTGATTAGTTGGTTGGTTGGTATTTAGGTTTGTTTGGTTGGTATTTAGGTATGGTTGGTTGGTTGGTATTGAGGTTTGGTTGGTTGGTATTTAGGTTTGGTAGGTTGGCATTTAGGTAGTACCAACACAGTACAGGTCATATGGCAACTTTCAAACTTACTGGTGGAGGAACAACTCAGGTGTCCCTCCTTGCATTATTTCAGGCTCAAAAAGGCACCTGTATAGAACCCACTGACATTCCATAAATAGCTGAATAGCTTCCTCACATAAAATTATTCAAAGTCTCTGGTAAGATTCGAACCTACAGCAGTGAGGAGCAAGTAACGATTACCTACCTTTGCCATGTTCTGTTTATTTTCAAAAATATGTTCAGCATCTTGAATGATAAGCCTGATAATGGAGTCATTCTGTTCAATGCATTCCCTGTCAGAATACAAAATACAAGAATAACATTTTATATCCTTCATTAGACCTTTGAAAACAAACACCTATAATGAATGCAATGATTTTTTTTTCCAATTCTTTGTTTTATATTGTGAATCATAATGATATAGCAAATAAAACACTTTTTAAGTATAATTAACCAATATTTGGCAAAAAAATTGGTCCAAAAACACAGTTTGGTCATATGAAGGCAGTTTGGTGCACCTAACCAGCTTATATTGTTCCCATTATCTTATGGTCAATGCTCAAAAGAGTTGTCACATAATAAGATGTCTCTGTTATTTAGCAAACATGAATATTGTAAATAAACAGAATAAACTGTCCCGGAACAAAATATTATTCTGCAATCTAGATAGGGTTTTTCTGTTAGGCAATAATTTTACCCATGCGCCGTTCATTTTTAAGGCAATTTATTACCATATTTATTTTATACAGGCAATTTGAAAGTATTCTTTTAAAAATCTAAACAATGAAATATTTGTATTTGCAACAGAATTAGATATACATGTATAGCTTTATACACTTAAAGATACCTATATACATGTACATGAATACATGCAACTTACCTAATTGTAGTGAGGTGATCAAGGAAATTTGGTACAAGATCTTTATGTCTTTGCGGCAAGGCATTGAAATGTTTCACTGCATCATCTACTCGTCTCAATGAGAAGGGTCTGAAAATAAATCATAAAATCAAATATACATTGTCAGTGATTTTCCTGCTTGTATAACAGACCCCGATCAAAGGCCTCTTCCTAATTGAAATTTTCTTTAAAATCATGCAGTCTTCCCAAAAATCTGAACTTAAACCTGCTTTTTTACTTCCCAAATTAGCAACTTTAGCGATATTTTTTCCCAAAATCAAGTCACTAAGGCCTCTTCCGAATGAAGTGAGAAAAATCACTGATTGTAGTCTTCTAAATGAAAAATGGTCTGAAAACAAATCAGTATCAAATATAGTTTTTTTTGTGCATTTTGTGATAAAGCAGTTATTTTAATATCGTTCTAAAGCATTTAAAGTATCAAAATATTAATACCGTCATTAAAATTGCCAATTTAACTGTGAAACATCAATTACCCCGAATACAGTCGGCCATGACATTAAAGAGCTATGCGAGACATTGCAAGAGTAGTGTACTATATTTAGAACATCTATGTTGACACAATTTCAATAATTATAATTCAAGATAATGTTTTAATGAATTGTCTTTAATGATTTAGAACTTAAATAAAATTATATTGAATACAAGACTCTTGTAACAAGAGAGTAAATCACCTTTTTCAATATCTTTAAAAAAGTAATTTATAACAAAATTGGAAGCACATGTGTTCTGTTTTCTAAACCGTCCATGCACGCAAATCAACCTGTATAGGTCAATCTCGCTATGACATGGTCAAAATTATTGGCAATGTGGTGGCCTAGTGCTGATTTTTTACCTGTCAGAAACAATTAGGTAGTTTATGTTCTTAATAAGTTTTTTATATGTCCATCCTTGGCTTATAAACAGATTATACGTAGCCTTATCAAGTTATGCTTCACTTTACTTCATGGCATGTTAGATGAATTAATATGAACGTGTCAGATTCCTGACACCATTTTTTGTGGGCTTTCCCTATGGGTCTGTCTTCAGCCTTCATGTCATGTCTAACATCTTTCTTCCATTAATGCCAAACCCCTTGCGGGGACGTAGACATAACTCTACAATAGTCACTTCAGAAACAGCTATAATCCAGGAACCAGTCCCTAGTTCTAATTGAATAGACCCCTTGGTTCTTTTACACGCTCAGTATATACGTAGCACTGATACATCCGAGGATTACCTGGATTACATACCAGTACCCCTCTTGCTCTAGTTAACTGTTAGGTGGGAAACAATGAAAATGTCTTTAAAAAATCCCAAGGGTGTTAACAAGGATCAAACCCGGGACCTCAGGAGTGACAACCAGTGGTCTAACCAACTGAGCTATTGCACCACCTGATGTCATAGTATATAAAATGGTACGCTGAAGACCATAAGCTATATGAAAATCCTTTCATCAATAATTACCAAAAGGTCCGATTTTCTATCAAATATGGATAAAACTTTCAATCAAATATCATATCAATATGTGATAGAAAATCGATCTTTTGTGATTATCATAAACAAATTGTGACTAAGCACCCTGCAAGTAGCAAAACACCAAATTTGACCAAAACTGGCATAAGGACAAAACACTGTAAAAGTTTGTAAATTCCGTCATGACAGTTCGTAACAAAAGAAAGATTTAAATTGTTTAACTACTTGTAGCATTTGAAGGCATTTATAATCCGTGCAAAATGTTCCCTTTCTTTTTCTTCTTCATGAGATTCGATCACTTCTCCTTCAATAATTTCTTGTTTTACCATGGGCGCTGCCATTTTTAATGGGAGGTAACTATGTCTAATGGTGAACACCACTAAATGTTTTTCCGCTATATTTGCCCCCGCGTCCAAAAGAATAATATGAATAGGCTAATGTTGACTACACAATACTACTTTATACGCTGCAAGATCTTAACTTTAAAATTATTACAGCCTGGGATTAAATATATTTGTCACATATACAACATGTCATAATACACATCATTTGCCAGAATTTAAAGAAGAACAACTCACATTTATGTACAGTTGTACAGTTTTTCTAAATGAAAACTTTAAATTAAATACATTTTTACCTTACTAGTTCAGAGCATTATCTATCTAATATGTTACAAACTAGAAATCTATAAAGTTGATATGAGCTGTTTCATACAATATTAATGCGGCGCACATATGTGGCCAGTTACTTGTGCTATATGCATCAAAATAAACGCCTTTAGATAATATATTATGTACAGTATAGAGCTAGGCGGAAACTTTGTTCAGGGATATGATTGAAGAAAAGACCCATAATGAGCTGCTCTGTTGGACATGGACTTGAATGTCGAACATATTAAACAGTAATTGGTAAAGACACGGTATTAAACAGTGAACAATTCATGGTAAAACGTCTGTATAGTTTATTTATTAATCTTTAGATGAAAAAGACAGTTTCATTTCATAAACATTTTATTCTAATAATTTTTAGCAAAACATAAACACATAGCATGACTGTATAGATATGCCTTCATACTATAACAGCTAACATCTGACTTCCTAACAAAAAGAATATTCATGAAGCTCCTGTATCTTTTGAAAATCATAACCAAATTCTTTACTAAACTCTACAAAAAGAACATATTATGCTCATGACATTCTATAACAGTTACTGTTTGAATAATTCGAAATTAAATTCTTAACGAAGTTATGTTAAAGGATCACGGCAGTAAGCAACATAAAATTTACCTTCACCTGAGCACAATTTAGCCGCCGCTTATTAAAAAAATGCAATGAACCAAAATTAATAAATAATTAACTTAAAGCAACAAATACATGCATGCCTCGATCGTGATTCACGCTAACTTTCATGATTTTTTTAATTGTAAAATATTGTGAAGAAAAACAAAGACAGTAATTTACAAATTACAAACAGGACTTGCCACACACGAAAAAATATCAAAAAAGAGGTCGATCAATGCATGTAGAAGCAAAAATAGCTTAATGTGTTAGAAACGCAGCATAAATATCGTGATAAATACATGTACTACAAATTCAGAATCAGTGTCCTTCATCACACAAAACATGTAAATTATTACTTGAATCTTAACATTTTTTATTTTCTTAAATTCTTAGTATATTTTTCTCAAATTTAATATTTTTCTTGAAATATTATGGCTCATCTGGAGGTATGCAGATTTAAATATAAAACTTTATTATGCACTATTGACAGGTCAATATTTAACGCTTCACGAAACGAAACAAAAGCAAGTTAAATTTAATTGTCATGGTTAAAATAAAAAATAAAATGAGAAGGAAAAAAGCAACTAGGAGGAAAGCGGAGATACTTACTGTAGACGAGAAAAAAATAAAGAAGGGACACAAAAGTGTAACCATATAAGCATGTAGCAAAAAAGTCGTGCAGATCGTGCAGAAAATGCTATCGATTTTGCAACCTCCTACGCAGTGATCTCCCCTTATCAGTATAGAAACTATCTGCAAAGGGAGGTAATCACTGTGAAGAGTTTGTCGATTTTTGCATGTGTTATTTCCTTTGATTATTAAGACTGAATAGTAATAAAAATGTGTTCAATAGTTTCATCGAAATTAGTATTTTCATCATTGTCTTTGTACAATTGATTCCAATAATTTATTGTGTTGAAGACTGAATACTACTCAAACCAGTGCTAGGGGGTCAGGCAATAGTTGCAATTCCGATTATTTGTCATCAAACCTACTCTAAAAATTTTCACTTTTAAACTTTGCGTTAACTGCTTTCTAGTGATCTCTTTTTTAAGATTTTTATTTTGCGATTTTTTTACAAATAGCGAGTCTATGATTTATTTGAAGTAAAAGTATAATTGTAATTAAACTAAAATGGCAAAACGATGGAAAACCCATAGAACACCTATAATGACAACATCGAATGTGTTGCAAGTTCGATTTGATTCAGTCTCTGAGAGGCTGGACGGTAGTGGTTAATGCAAGCAACCGTCCACGCTCTCTAGCACCGGCTTAAGCCGTATTCAACATTTGCACATTAAAATGGAGAAATTTAGAATAAATCATTAACAGGTGTGTTAAATTAGGGTGTTGATCATGAAACCCTCAATTTTAACTTTTATGCAATTGAAAAGCGGCGATTAGTCCCAAAGTTGATTTAAGTGTGTGCCCCTAAAGATGACACTTTAAGCAGAAGTATTTAAAATGTAATTTCTCAGACATACATCAAAGGACAAACTTTAAATAAAAAACAGACATCATAATCCCAGGGTTGTTTCACATTATTCAATTAAGATTAATGGAACTTCACAGTAAGGAAAAGACCAGAAAGAAGACAATTAAAATTACCATAAATATAACAATTATGTCTTGCTAAAAAAAATTTAGGTATCGGAAGTACATCATTTCTGATTGATACATTTGTCGATCTTCTACTCTGTTATACAAGAAAGTGCTGTAGATTGATATGATTTTTGAAATAAATACCACAATAAATAATGTTCAATGAAGTAAAGCTGTCCACGTTTTTAGCCTACGGCAGGTGCTTGTGCCGTCTGTCTTTGTTGGACCCTACTCAACGCTGTTTGAAGAGCCGACTGGATAACTGACGGATTAACTTGGGACGCTGAAACACCACCAGCTGCCACTGGTGCCTGTGGAGCCGGAACTCCAGAACTGGTACCAGCTACCGGTACTGAGGCGGATACAAGTCCCACGCTTGCAGGAGACGCTGCTTGTCCAGTCACAGGTAAAGATGGAGCTGATATTGCAGCACCAACAGCACCTGCCGTCATCCCAGCTCCTAGTCTTGAAGCGGCTGCGGCGGATGCCATTGCAGCTCCTGGGGCAACCATTGGCCGACTTGGCGTATCCGGGTCAATGAATGTATCTTCAAATGTATCATAAGACATAAATGGCATTCCCATACCCATTCCCATGCCCATAGGACCCATACCAGGGCCCATCATTGCAGCCATCGGGTTCATTGCGCCCATCATACCAAACGGTGAGCCCATGCCCATATGTGACATCCCCATAGGCGATGGCATGCTAGCTGGATTTGATGCATGTACTGCTGGTTGCTGAGGTACAAGCGTCTGAGCGCTTCCGGAAGTTGCTGCTTGTTGTACAGGCGCTTGACGGATGACAGCTGGTTGTTGATGTTGCACTGCCTGCGTTTGAACTATTTGTCTGGGCTGAGCTACTTGTTGTAGTGTAGATGCTGGCTGCACATGTTGAACAGTTTGTATAGTCTGTGGTTGGGATACGATTTGGTGAGTTTGGTGGACTGTTTGTTGTGGTTGCGACAGAACTTGGTGAGTAATTCCCTGTCTCGGTTGAGATAATACTATTTGTTGGGGCTGATGGGCAGAATGGGCTTGTCGAATCTGAAATAGATCAATATAGATATAGTCAAATATAAATATTACTAGAAAACTTGAAAGATGAAAATGCTAAACCATCAAAGCACAAAGTACGATAATTAAACACGTTCAGACGATTATGGAAACTGTGAAATTATGTAATCTTTCATATTTAAGTCATCATAATTCGTTATTTTGTTTTCTGTCATCAGCTTCTTCGTTTTGGTGTGTTTTTTTTTACTATTCCGTTAGTCATGTGTGAGTGATGGCCCTTTTTTGAACACCATACTATTTTGTGTCTTTTGTAAACTAAAGTATAATTCTAAAGACAGGAAAGTTAACATAAAATGCAAATGCAACTAACCTGAAGAGGCTGTGTTTGCTGGAAAGTCGACTGTGGAACGCTAGCTTGTTGCGGTGACAACACCAATTGGCTACCGCTGCCGCTTGTCCGTCCGAGAACCAGTCTGTTGCTTTGTAAAGCAGAAGCACTTCCGGATATAGGGGAACCAGATATAAAGCTGCTAGAAGATACGGATGTTGGGGGACCACTCAACCACGCCCCTCCAGATGAGCCTCGTTGCGGCGACAATGAACCTGAAAATTCAATTTTACCTTTATATTTCAATTGCAAACATGGAATATTTTCCCATTCACGAGACTTTATATTAAATACACAATTTAATACAGGAAAAATGATGCATATGATGACTCGAATGGACGGAACAGCTATTAAAGACAATCGTAGTTTTTCGGAATTTGCCGTCATACTTCGGTAGAGATAAAATAGCAGAGTGAAAGGGATATGGAATTATCATGCAGAATATATACATGTATTGAAAACGTTCAATCAAAATTTCTGAATATATTATGTATCAAAGATAAAATATTTATATAAAATAGTTACAATGTTACACCATAAATAAACAAATATGTAGCACTTCAAAGTGAGCATTTGATTTTCTGTAAGAAACGTACATGTATTAAAGAAATTATCATTACTTCAGCAAAAAAAGCTTTCATTGGAGTGTAAGAAAAATAATGTTTAAAAGGTTTCCCTTTCATGACCTACCTTGAGATAAAGTAAATCGAGAGCCAAAACTGCCCGACAAATCACCTAGTAATTGACCGCCAGATCTCTGTAAAATGGAAAAATAAAATATCAGGTAATTTTTACACAGTGCAGCAAAGAGTTACAACGAAAATTAATGAAATATACAAGGCCATTGTATTTGTAAAATATTGGCATACTAGCTCTAACTGCATGGGGAAACTAGTTTATTATGAAAAATGCAACATCTTTCGGCCATATACATACAGCCAATAGTTGTCTTTATAAGATGTTGCGGAAGAATTCATTTAATTGGCCTTATTAGAAGTCATCACCGTCAGCCGCACATATGGGCGACAATCACCACCGGTAGGCGACATATGTATCACCGGAAGTCACTATAATCGACGACAGTCATCGGCAACCACCCAAAGATTTTTTGGTATTTCATTTTATCTTTTTGTGGTATAGTGCAATATCAAAATTAGCCGGCCCTTTAGCACAATTATACAATCGTTAATCCCATAAAGTACTCGAATTCTAAGCTTAAAATATACCCATGTTGCAAAATTTGCTAGTGAGCATGAAGTACGTGTATTTTTCTTATGATTATTCCTTACTGTTGATGTATATCGGTACAACAAATCTTTAATCATTGACACAAATATTCGTTAACATATACTTTTTTTCTTCTTACTTAAATAACTGTTATTGAATCATGTCCAGTATGTGGGTTTTTTTTCCAATTTTAAGGACAAAAATAAAAATAAGTAAAATTATTGTAATTTTGTTACAATTAACTGTACCGTGACATAGAAATAGAAAATAGAAAAGATGCACTCTAAATGGTAATGTGCTCATGAGTGAAATGTTAAAGGAGTTTTCCAGTTCTGGGGATCGGGTCCAAAAAGAGTGAGAAAAAACCTGAACAATGTCAAATAATTGAAACAATCTGCAGTAGAAAGTATAAAAATGTTTGATTTGTTAAAAATATATTTACCCTCCTGAAGCTTTGAAACGGCTGCGCACTATATAATCCAGCCAGAGATAAAACCAGCAGCACAGCTCGCCATTGTTTCGCCATATTTTAAAGTATTATTTTCTATACACCTTGTATTTCCAATTACCCCTTTATAGACTAAACCAAAACGCACGCCTTTCCTCTCTGGACAGACGGGTTTTAGACAGGTCATTCCGTCATATATTACATGTTATAAATCAAGCGATGTCATTGGCTACGAAACTGCGCGATGATGCACGGAAATGACCGAAAGGTGCATGATGGACAGGTTGATGACAAGTAAAATAGGAAAACAATGATTGCAATTATAAAAGTAATCATCAGTCATGTGTTGCTATTGGTGAAGCTGTCAAAAGTATGATAATTACAATAATAACCTTTGTGTAATGTCCGAGAATAAATAGTTTAAAGGTTTAGAATTTGACAATATAGTTTAAGAAAATAAGAGCATGTTGTTGCAATCAAAGAACACATAGTGTATTTAGAATTGTATACCAATGTACAAATGGGAAAAAAATGAGACGTCACCCGCTGACATAATAGATTGATTTGCGCAGCTTTAAATTTGGTCTATTCAAAACTTAAAAGATTTAAATATCAAAATACATGTACATTTTGTATTAAAATCAGCTACCAATATTATAAAGCAAGGCCCAACTGCACGGATGTGAAGGCTGGCCAAAATCTTTTCTGGTTGAAAGGGCAAATAACTTTCGTTTGCAGCAGATTAAAAGTAACAAATTTAAAGATATCTTAACGAATATTATGCAGTGAAATATTGTTGACAAGCTAAATTAATTTTAAAAAAAACTACATAAACTTATTTTTCTGATATAACTACATATGTTACTCGTATATAGTTTTTTTACGTTATTTCATAATTAGATCTTTGTGCAATATACTTTCGTGTTTCTGAAAGAGGAGTCCACTATGATATGGTTGAAATAACATAAATAAAAAGACCTCAATTTTATAACACACAGAAAACAAGTTATATACATGTTCAATGTTTTTTTTTTCAAAAGTAATCAAATTAAAAATTATGTGACGGCTGGCTATATGAGGAAGCATAGAGTTTTTTTGTGGAAAATAAGTTAGTACCACGATGACGAAGGTTTGTTATATTTAATAAAATTATAATATCATAATATAATATATTAAAATATATTAATATAAATAATATATTAAACGACTACAAGAACATTGACTCTTTATGCAATTATGTGTTATCATTATTAACGAATAAACAATCATGGTACGATTTTAATTTGCACATTTGCACTAAAATCCTTATTAGATATTCACTTACATAACTGATAGAAATACAAAAAAATATTTCGAAACAAACGTAACACTGTCTTGTTAATTACACTTTATGAAGTCATATGTGATGTTGTTAATTAGGAAACTATTCGTGTGCTTTTTGGTACATTCAATCTTGAATATTCATGACATATATATCAAAAGAAATTTATTCGTACAAATCAGACACGGAACTATATCGTTTGCATTTGTGTACTTATCTGTTTATTGCTTAATAGTCATAAAATTGTAACGTTTTCTTTAGCAAGTACAAATATTTTCATAACTCATCCCTAAACAAATTGACGCATCTGCCAAAGTTACGTAATTTCGGACAGATCAATATGTCCGAAACATTATAATGATGTAAATGCGATGATAATTTGACAGCTATCGAATGCCGGCTGTCAGTACTGATTGAGACCATGCTATATCCAATTTTCTATCGGAACAATATCTTCATACACAAAGAAAAATATTAAAATACGATTTTATATTTTTTAAAAATAATAATAAAATGGCGGCGGATTTGAAACGGCTGCATTGTTTGAAATTAATTTTAATAGGAATTGTTACTTTTATGTTAATCGATTTGTTAGCAGCACAACAATACAGAGGTCGCTCCAGGGTAAGTTGCTTTTGTACTTTTTATCACACGTTTAAAACGAGTGTTTTATTATTATTAAAATGCATTTTAGATTTCTTATCTATCTAAAACACTGCTAAGGAATGTTAGTCTGACTTTTTCAAATCTTTTTCAAATCTTTTTCTTTTTTAAAAACATTAAGAAAAAGGAAGAAAAAAGAGGCTGACAGCAAATAAATGTTATGCAGACTTAGAATCATCTATTGGGACGGGAGCTTACAAAAATTGTAAGCAACAATAATAATAAAACAAAGAAAATAATTCCGTATGTTCTCCATAATGGGCTTTACTAGAAGTTCTGTTATTCCATTTAAGATACGACGTGTTGTAATTACATAATAGATTGTTTAGCCTTTCAAAATGTGTGTGAAAGAAAGAAGGAAAGAAAGAAAAAAGAAAGAAAGAAAGAAAGAAAGAAAGAAAGAAAGAAAGAAAGAAGAAAGAAAGAAAGAAAGAAAGAAAGAAAGAAAGAAAAAGAAAGAAAGACATTTTTACGTTATTGCAAATTTTAATAGAATAAAGTAAAATATAAGATACAATGCTTACACGATTAAATATTCCTATAAAATATCCGTATTTTTATTTTAGGATCCTATCTATATTGTATTTCTATTCAAATTATTTTGCTATTATTATTATTATTATTATTATTATTATCGTCATAATTTTACGGTAGTTACATAATTTTATATCTATTGTTATTATTTTTATTATTATAATGTTTTTTCATCATCATCATCATCATCATCATTATTATTATTAATATCATCCTCATCATCATCATTATTATTATTATTATTAATATTATTATTAATTATTATTATTATTATTATTATTTATTCATCATCATCATCATCATCATCATCTTCATCTTCACCATCATCATCAGCATCATCATTATTATTATTATAACGATTATGGCAAAATGTCAAGATGTTTTGATTTTTACCTGTTCACTTATCATTTATACTTTGACGGTGATAATGAAACTTTAACATTTGCCTTTTCTTTACAGGTAAAGTCGTATATATTCTTTGAAACTATCGTTATAATTCTTTTATGATCTGAATTCAAATGGAACAAATTTTCCATTATAAAATTACAAGTAAAGACTATTCTATTTGCGGGCGATCTGCTCATCAAATAATCTACAAAAGATAGGTAACTGGTGTCGCACTATTCATAGGTAGTAAAATTGAATTGTCTCCCCTGCGCATTTGTTAAACGGTTGTTGTTTTTTGTTTGTTTTTTGTTGTTGTTGTTTTTTGTTGTCTCTCACAATTATGCACTGGCAGTATCAAATGCAATACTATTTATTTGCGTTTACATTTTGACGTGCTGGTCAGTAAAGATCTTGCAATATAGGCTACATAATTATACATGTAAAATGCAATCTGACCGGAATATATAATACTTGCTCTATTATCTTTCGCCAAAATATTCATATGCACTATGTTTAAATTGTGTCGCTTAATTCTAACTGCATACATCAAATAAGTACGATAAAAATATACAAATCCATGTTCTTTAGTTTCCGACAAGATGGAATCCTGGAAATTTACCTCAAAGGTCAAGGTCACAGTTCAGTCACAGAACAATACGAATACAGAATCCACTTCGAGGCAGCATCACGACACCAAGGTATAGACCAATCAGAACACAGGAAACTTTTGCCGCTCGAAATGCAATCCGCTCTCAACCAATCAGAACACACGGAAGATTGTCTGACCTTAGCAGAGGTCAACATCGACCAATCAGCTTCCAGTTACCTCGACTCAGTGAAGTGAATGTTCCTTCTGTTCAACGGTCGCGGATCCAAGAAAGAGGTAATATTAATTTGTCATTACATAAATAATTTTCTAGAAATACGATGACAAATTAAAAGTAATGTAAAATTAAATCAAAATAAATTAAAAAAAAAACGTTTATTTTTTTTTCTGAAACTGTCACTGATTTAAATGGCCGTATCTAATTCTAATTGTAAAACATGGTAAGATACACGGGGGGAAAAACACCCGAAGTAGGACTCGAACCTTGCAGTTAATAGCAAATACAATTTATAAAATTACGTACAAAATGATGACTGTTATATTGAAAAATTGATCAAACTGTTTTCAAGAGCGTCTCTTTGTTACCATTTCCAGTTCTTCTATTACTGAATATTATTTAATTGTTAGAATAAATAGCGATATCTCTCTAAGTCATTGTTTGGAGCTTTTATTCTGTATATATTTTTTTTAAATTGTTTTAAGCATTATGTAGATATGATATTATATATATTTCCGAACTTTTAAACACTTATCACTTTAACCACACAAAATAGAAAGAAAGAAAAATGAAATCGCCCAACGTGGGGCTCGAACCCACGACCCCGAGATTAAGAGAGTCTCGTGCTCTACCGACTGAGCTAGCCGGGCAGTTACAAACAGTAGCATATTATTACTGTCAGAATGAGAGCTGAACTTATATTTTTATCTATTTACACATAATATTTGATGTTTAAATTCATCGTTTTAAGATAAATGATTTTAAATAAAGTTAAGAAAAATCTTAAACAGAAAATAAACCCATCTTTCATTGAAATCTAGAAAAATTGGCGCGATTTCCCTCCTCTATTGTAATATTTGGCGCCCCCGCCAAACTGTCACTTAACTTAATAATGTATACTGTACATGTAGATTTTAGATGTATTTAAACTTTTACCAGTGTTAAAAGCTGTAACCATTAAATATGAATGAGAAGTAGGTCATATTTAAATCTACAACTGTTAATAGGCCTACTGTATCATGTGAATAGAAGCAAATCGATATTTTTTTGTGGAAAAAGCTAGACCTATTCAGGCGCGGCTCCAGCTAGAATGTTTTACTAGATGGGGATGCACATTAAATTTCCATAAGGCTGGGGGACATATTAAAGTGATATTATGCCCATCCATGGGTATATATTAAGTGTACAGGTGAAAGTCAAAATAAGTTTACATTTTGCCATAATTCCTCTGTTTTATAACTTTACATAAACGATAGTAATTAGACCTAACTCACCTTAATGAAATTTCTAAAAATATATTTATATCATTCGGAATTTAACTGTAATTTTCAATTTATAAAACGAGTGGGACAGTCATTTTATATTACAGTCAAATTTAATTTTTATCCTTAACATTTTCCAGTATCAAGAGCTTCTGATGGTCAAGTCACCATTATAATAGCCACTTTTTTTAAATATTCAGTTATTTCAGCTCAACTTGACAACACAAATATGAGAATAATGTCCACTTGGGGTTGGAAATTTTACTAGTTTTACAGAAATGGCTCACTTGTGTCATTTTTTTTGCATGAGTTTCACATGTTTTTGTAAAACGGAAGTTACTTAATTAACTCCCCATCCCAACACATCTGGATTTACCCACATACGCTTTAAATATGTATATGCTTCGCAGGAATAAATCAAATATATTTAAATCTATTATATTTAAAAAGCAGGAGGCTAACAGTCGATGTTACTATACCGGCCTCCAGCAGAAAAAATTGTTCATATAAGCAAAATATTGTTTCAAATGTACACATGTACTGAGTAACCTTCTAACCAAGTTCAGTAAGTTATCAAAAGATATTTTTATAATACACACGTGTCCCTTGATGGCACTTCGGTAGTTTGTGAAAATTTCAATGTGTAAACATTATTTTCTCTTTAATATGGTAGTAACGGGATTAAAATTTTAATGCTAGAAAATGTCATATTTTGAATAGATTTAATTTATTAATGATAATTTCATGTTATTGTGTGATTCTACAGATATGAATTTTAAAAATGATAAAAAATGTATTTTCTTACACATAAAAAAATTGGAGATTTATTTTAAGATTCCAGATATTTTAAAGTCCTCAGTATCAGTACCAAATATTAATATATCCACTTAGTGTTATGTGTATCTTTCGACTCATCTTTTGGTTTTTATATTCACCCAAGGTTTACGATGTTTATTTATTTTTGACGTTCCTGTAGAGAATCCCTTTAGAACAATGTCTTTGGTTTTTGTACACAGTATTGTTTTTTTATTTGGGCCCCTCTGAAAGGTTACATTTTTTTAATTTAATCATTGGGAAAAAAATGGGGCCCGAAATTTCCGTGGGGTTGAATGGGGAAAATATTTTATCATTCAGAAATAATATTAAGTTTTATTAATTTCTTTTTGATATCAATAATTCTCTTTTAAGGTAATAACAATGGACCGATGTACATGATGTCAAGGTCACAAAGTTTGCAGCAGACACAACGGAGACAAATGATAAGCGATCAAATGACTAGACCACGTGATCAACTTAGACAGCGCATTGCAACACGACAGCAGCAGCAGCAGTTCCAAACGAGGTCGGCAGGTGCTAATAGAATACCACAACGCGCCCTCGTACAAAGTCAACGATCGGGCGGTATTCCTAATATTGACTCACACAACCGCAGAAGTCCACAGGCGAGAATAATATCTGGTCTACCAAGATTAAGCATTTCGCCGATTCCACGACAACCAAGCATCTCTGTGTCACAGATTTCCAGAAGGAGGCTCAGCAGTCAAGGTATTCAAAGCTTGAGGCCAGATCAGCAAACAAAACGTGTTCCGACTAACATATTGCGACAGAGTTCAGTGGTGTCTTCAAATCGAAATCTGCCACGTGTTGTTTCCAGGGTAAAACCAAAAATATCGCAAGAAAATCCATTGATTGTATCTACAGTGCAGAAACCTCAAGGTGTTAATACAATAAATCTACAACCGATAATCGGAACACATCAACAATTTACCAATCTTGTTCCTCAAACTCAACACCAGACGAGTGCTTCCCATCAGCAGACCCAAGTAGTTGTACCAGAAAGCCAACCAGTCCACACAGTTGCACTGCAAACACAACAACAGACGCCAGTTATCGCGACAAAAGGTCAATCGGTACTCATTGCTACACCGGAAATAAAGCAGCCGACATTACAAGTGAACCAGGTGACCGGGAATATAGCTGTTCAGCAAGCGATCACTGCTCAAGGAAACACTGCTTTACTACAAGGTGTTGGCCAAAGTGTCTTGCCAGTAGACGTTCCCAATGCACAACAAAGTACGGTTCAATATATCCCGGTTGCAGGTAGCGCGGCCGTTCAGACACCCGGAACCAATCCTTCAAGCGTTGGGTCATCTGATATAGTCTTTGAGGAGCTTGTAAATGCTTTCACGGCTGTTTTAGAGAACCCGACTGGTCAACAGACGCCTGCAGTCCAAACAAATCCGATTGTGCATAACATGCATCCTCAGACAGCGTTACAGAGCACCATACAAATACATCCACAGTCTCAGGGAGTTCTACAACACGGAGGAATTGTTCAGTCGCAGCCAGGTATTGTACAACACGGAGTTATGCAACACGGAGGATTTGTCCAGCCTATGACTGCAATGCATAATGGAATGTTTGGTGGCCACATGCACGGACACCAATTTGGTTTCATGAATCCATGGATGATGGGAGGCATGGATTCAGCAATGATGCAGGTAACATTTCCTGTCAATATAAAAGCAAACAAAAAATCATATACTTCGTAACAGTTAGTCATTATTAATAACAACTATATAAAATTAGTAGTAAATTGATTGCTTAATCAAAGGAGACTTATTGACTACCAAACTTTAATATGTTGGCTAAGAACTACTAAGTATGATAACTTATATTATACATTTTATCAGTTGTGTCACTTGAAAAAAAAAACTCAAAATAGTTTGCTATGCCACATTGTCATTACATATTTGTTGAAATATTTTCTATTTCTGACAGGAAATGATGTTCGGGGATACCACAGACCCTCCAGACCCGGTTGCTACAACTACAACGGCTGCTCCGACAGTTGCGGCAGCCCCAGATCTCAGTGCCAATAATACTTCTCCTATTCTTGCTATGGTGAATACATCTGCGGTATCACAAGCATCAAATCAACATATAAATGTCTCTACAAAAGGTGTTGTTGATTTAACATCAAAGCCTTTGTCCGCAGGCACCTCTATAACTGTTACTCAACCAGAAGTAGCGACACCAGTGAAGACCTCTGTAGACATAGTCCAGGTAGCAGAACAAAAGACGCCAGTTGTTGCTGATATGTTGAACGCTGATGTTACGTTAGTGTCCAATGTTATTCCAGAGCGAGTTAACGTCATGACAGTCCCTGATGCTATGCAAGGTCCAGTTGCAACAAATATACATCAAAGTGAGCTTGCACATGTAGCCGCAAAAGCTGACATTTCAATTACGCCCGAGGTTATTCCTAACACTATTGGCGTACTGAAGGTTCCTGATGGTGTTCAAAGTCCAGTGCAAGCAGACATACATCAAACAAAGCCTGCACCTGTAGAATCTGGTGCTCAAACTGACATCGTGATTAAACCAACATTGCAACCTGCAATCACTAAAGCTTCGATGACCTTGGAGGAAAAACTAATGGCAGAAGTTAAAGCTATGTTAGCGAATACACAAGTTGACATGTCGATGATCTCTCAAGTAGTTGGGCAAGTTGCCAACGAACTTAGTGGAGCAGCCGTGGAACACTTACCGTCCGCCTCGCAGCTTGGCCTTGAAACGCTTGTCCCCGATCCTTCCGCGAAGAAATTATCGAAGAAGGAGATTGTTAGTGAATTAATTGGCTCTACTAGAGGAGTTGTTGTGTACCCACCAACCCCACCTTCAGTAAATGTCGAGTTAAGAGCAAAGGAGGTTCAAGCAAACGTCATTATTAAAACCAAACAGATGCCTAATGTTGTCCAAAATGACACTTCAACAGGCTTGAGGTCTGAGAAACTTATCTTAAAAGAAAAGAAAATGCCACATATAACGCCTGCCGTCCCTGCAACTACCAAACTTCCTCCGCATGTAGACATTCCAACACTTCCTCCCAAGACCGGAAATATTGATCAATCACCGGAAGTTTACAGAACGCTTCAGACTATCTTGGATCATAACCCATCTGCACTCGTAAAAGTTCTTGATAACACAGCCGTGCCTATAACACCAGGGCCTAAGATAAGTGTTAAAAGCCTTGTTGACATAGACCCTCAAAGCAATCTGCCTAACTTACAATCTATTCTTACTGACATATCAACTGCTAATAAAACCAACATCTCAAATAATACCTCAAACACACCTCAACTTAGAAAAACTGAAACCCGATTTGAGCCAATTGTGAATACATTAAATGGCGGAAACAAAGAAAATAGTTCTTCAATGTCAGATTTGCCTAAAATGAATGATATGAAAGTACAACCACTTATGGACGGAGCATCATTGATTAAAGGGAATGATATCACATATGAAGCATTTTCATCAAATTTACCCACAATGCCTTTTTTACCAGCAAAAAATGCGGATACAACAGATAGTGCGCCTCCTACAGATACTGTGGCTCCTACAGATGCTGCGGCTCCTACAGATACGATTCCACTTGCAGAAACTCAGGTTCCAACCACCCCCGGTCCAATATTCAATGGATCAGAAGAGGCATCTTCAACCACTGACCAGACATGGAGTTTCAGTACTGTTTCCCCCTTTGTTAACGCTGAAACCACGACTGACGTATCCAAATCTGCTACTACAGCAAACGCTGAAGGCGTTCCTGTGAATGTATCAGAGCATGTGAATATAAATGCGCCAAAGCTAGCAAATATGGAGGGCGTACCTGTACATATGGAGCGAATACCAACTACAGAACATTCTCCTGAAAACTTAGACGCAACTGGTGCTTTATCTATTCTACAGGAGATCAAATCTTTCGGTCCAAACTCATCGTCTAGTAAACATGATGCTATTGCAAATAAACTTTCTGATCCTGATTATGTGAACATGTTACGAGATTTGTTAAAAGCTATGATGAGCAAAGCAAGTGTTACAACGACTCCGGTGCCATTATGGACCGATGCCCAAGAATTCTTCACTACGTCATTTCCTGTCTCTACTACGAATTTACCTATCTCCTCGACTGAAGAATATGAAGCGGAAGATTTTATAACAGAAACTCCTGCTCCATGATTTATTCCATTTGAGAAATAAGTTTTTAACTGTGTGTGTGGTAATGATGATGATGATGATGATGATGATATTGGTTCCTGGAACTCATTCTGTCAGCTTATTAAACGAAATAATCTGATTTTGAAATAACTGAATGAATATTCATTTTAAGAAATCTATTACAGATCATGTATTTGGGTTTTTTTATTGTTAATATAATCATGTGTCTCATCTCTTTGTGGAAATTTTCAGAAGTTTCATTCTTCTATACAGGCTACAAGAGCTTCATCGATTTTATAGGTCGCCTTGGAATCATATTTGTTCATTTTATGATATTCTTAGTTGTTCTTAAGTAAACCTTAAACCTAAGTATTTTCATTGAGATAATTTATCTCCAAATTTTGAACTTGCTACTAGTTATTGCCGTTGAAGTTAGTTTTCTTCATTTACTTACATTTTAATATAGTTAATATGGTTCAACATTGGCATGAAAGCCAGTTTACCACTCGCACTTGTTTTTACAGTGAAGCATGCGTTTACAGTTAGTTTACCACAGAAGCTGGTTCACCACTTTACTTTACATGCTGGGAAAATTGTCGTCTGCTCAAATGTCGCCAGCATTTTTGATCTGATACCAAGCCATTATTATCACTCTCAGCAAATTAAGGGTTTCAGTCACTGTACCAATTGTTATGATTTATTTACTGCTATAAAAGATGTATACATGACAAGTTCAGTATTTCTACCATATTTATTCATCAGTCATACTTTTGCCATATTTGTCTCTATTTATACATTTTTCATTTTATTTATTTTCGTTAATATTAAAGTGTATAAAGCTATATCTTTAAAACTGTCTTTTTTGATTAACATATATGCATATTGTAAGTAAACAGAATGGAAGTTTCGGCAACAAAATTTTATGCGGCTATTTTTAGTAGAGTTATATAACTATTTAGAAATGATTGTGTGCACGCGCATGCGCCATTCACCTGAAAGAGGATGCTTCCAAAATACCTTTATGGAAGTTTATAATGTTGCATATTTCTTTAAGATTCAAACAATGATTTTGTCATCTACAGGCAGCAGATATATAGCTTTATACACTTTGAGATGTCATTATAAAAGTTTGTTATGCATTAAATTATTTTACAAAGTTTAGACTGTGTTGTGTTATATGTATATGTATATGTGTTGTGCTACTATAAGATTGTACATCTTATTCCTCGTCACGCATAACTTTTCATTATAGAACAGAACAGCATCGGTCAGTGCATATATATGCATGTGGACACTAAGGTATGTGGTGGCCAAGAAGTCTATGTGTTTGCCTTAGAACCCAGTGACCGTGGGCTCGGGATCTTAGGCCATGGCCATGTTTCTTCGTATGTCACAGTCCTGGTTAAGTCCAGAAAGCGGATGTGGAAGTGGACTATACGTTATAAGTTGTAAGCTTCAATAAGATATGTTTAAACTTACGTAATATCACGGATTTATATTACAAATCCGTGGTAATATACAAATTAAAAGTTATTCTTTTATGGCGGCCATCACTTGAAATTATACGAAGTTCTTAGTCATTAGCATGGGAAATGGTGCCAAATTGCGTTGAAGTTATACCTGCACATGTGTTAACGTGTGTGCCAAAACACATCTCACTGCACCCATAGTGTCTTATTGATATAACGTTGAGATAACAACAAAAGATCTTTCAAACTCACTATTTCCACGCTAAACGGGTTCTGCGATGTCTAATAAAATCAACCCATAAGTAAGCATGTTCGTTTTATTAGTACCCTTAAGTGTTTAAAAAGGCCGCCTAAAATACAAAAATTACGCGTATCAGAAATCATTTCACTTGTGATTGATTAAATATACATTTCACTCCCTAAATCAGAATCGGCCAAAAGCGAATGTCGTAAAAAATTGTGTCCAACACTTTAGCTATTAATTACATTTTGTATTTCGTAACTTTTCTGTGTACAGTATGTTTGGTATCAGAATATGATTTAACTAGACTAAACATGTGTTTCGTTACCCTCGGTATTGATATATCATTACGCTTATTTTTGCCTATTTTGCTTATCATTGCTCGTTACTCTAATTATTGCACATTGCTCTTGTAATTGATCATTTCTCTTACTTATTCCTTTGTACGCTTATGATTGCTCGTTCGGCTTATTATTTCTCATTTTGCTTACAATTAATCATTGCGATTATTATTTCAAATTTCGCATATCATTGTTCAATACGCTTATTATTCCCCTTTTCGCTTGTTATTATTACAAATGTTCATTGCGTTTGTTATTGCTCATTAAGCTTATTATTGCTCATTGCGCTTGAAATTCCTTCTTCGCTCATTATGAATAAAATTTTCTGTTTATTATAAATAGTCATAGACAGCGCAAACACTGAATAAAACTTACAACCCCCACTGCACATTTTTAAAAAAGTGAAACACCCTTTTATGAAACTTTCTTGTTGTTTTTTTTTTTTTTTCAAAAGACTTGTTGTCCAAAGCGTTACTATCTTGCCATATAGCTGAGCTATCTTTTGCGTTTTTGCATTTTGGTAATTGGTACAGTTAATAGTACAGTTGACGTGATTTAGTATTTTGTATGGAAGTCAAAATACTGTTTTGCTTACTGTTACAGTTTGCTCCCTTTATCAATTTTTTTACATTTAGCGTTGTGGCGCCGTTAAATGTCGCAACGCCGCTAAATGTCGCACTTGCCGCTAAATGTCGTACCATTGCCGCTAAATGTCGCAACCGCCGCTAAATATCGCAAAATCATTTGCCGTTAAATGTCGCAATGTTAACGTTAAATGTCGCACGAATTTCCCTTACCGTTAAATGTCGCAACCCTTACCGTTAAATGTCGCAACACTACCGTTAAATGTCGCAAGATGTAAATTCATGTTAAAATCATGATTAAAGTAGTATTATATTACTTTTTAACATTCTCATAGTTATTTTTATTGTAATTGCCATCTTTGTTTTACTTGTTTTCTTTTATGAACCTAAATATCGAGGTTTTGAGCTGCTATATAATGTAATCTTTAGGCTAGAAAGGATAATTGATACTAAATTCTCAATAGATAAGTATTTTTCTTTTGTTTCCCATTTTCATTTGTAACCCTGATTGACAACAGATTAAAGGTATTATGGTATTGTCGCTCTCAGAATTTGGTTTAAGTAATTTCATTTATTTTCTCAGACACTACCGAATTTACTTTAAATGTGGTTTATTTGTTTACTATGATCATATGATGCAATATCAAAGGGCAGATAATCCTAGATATAGTTTGCAAAGTTATTCCCCTTATTTCTCTAAGATGTTTTCGCTCTGATTAACCTTTTGGTTACGGCTAATTTCAAACATATTCACTTTAAACTTAAATACTTATTTCATATAAAAGTACTAATGCATTTCTAAAGGACAGATGATCCTGACAGGTATTTTTGCTAAATTATCTCCCTTTTTATATTTTCCCCCCAAAATACATATTAAATATTCACTTCAAACGTGAAGGCAATTTTTTTTATTTTATCAGAAACGGCAAATACGTGAAAAACATAGTATGAAATGCACGGTCAATACGAAAATCGAAAACAAAAATTATCATGTAGTACTCCTTGATCATTTAGTATTCGATCCGCAGTCGGGCGTTAGATATGACCGAATTTTACGATTAACACATATAATATGCACTGGAATTTTTGTTATAGCAGCTAGCCCGCATAGCTCAATGACTTGTAATCTCGACCTTGTGGGTTCGATTCCCGGACTGGCCAACTAAAATTACTAATCAGAAAGAGCATCGAAACACGAGGCTATCTGATTGTACGAGGGGGCGTAGCCCCCGAGTATAAATTAGATTGCCGTGTGTTTTGATGTTCTTTCTCTTTTGTATCATAGTCAAACATAAAAACACGTTCCCTGATACCACAAAATGAAACCCAACAAAAACGTAACCAATGAACGAGCATCTGAATATGATATTTCCATCGCTATCCCTTTCTCTGTCGTCACAATATGTAAACCCCGGACAAAATGAACCAATCAATGGGCATGCTCTGGAGTACGGGTAACTAATACCTGCACTCCAGTTAACGCACTGTGCATGTATATGTATACGATTTAACTCTGACACATTTTCAACAACAAGATCCCCAAACTGTGATACAACTTAACAATAAAGGCTTAATGAGCGAAAATGTTATAAAAATTTTCACACCAGTGACCTTGACACTAGAGACCCCTTACTCCACAAAAAATACACGGTCATTAAAGGTATTAGGTTAACCATACAAGGTCCTATTTTCAAAGTGAAAAAAGGAATATAACTTGGGATGTCAGAGTTATATAACTTGGCAAATGAACTTTCTCTAAATAAGTAAGTGTGGAAATTATGAAGCCATAAGTATAGACAGTACTTAAAAAAATCCATCTTGCCGGTTAAGGTTCACAATATTATTATCAAACTGCTGAAAATGGCAATAATTTGATAAAAACTTATGCAATAATTATGTAACTTGCCAGGATCAAGTATATTGTATTGATTAGTAAATGTGTAAATTATGAAGCCATTTGTACGAGTAGATTTTAGGAAAAATCCAACATGCCATTTTATTATTTTGATCGTTCCATTTTTTATAACATGACACCAATTTTAGGCTGCCAGGCTCCTAGAGTGCCAGCTTTAGGCTATTAGACTGCAAAGTTCAGTGCCCTTAAGGTAAAGGCGTTTTTTCCATAATCATGCATTTGTATGTGCTTTTGCAAGACCTTTCATAGTGATTTTACTGTATTTTAAATTGTTTCCATATTTATAATATAAGTCACTAACTTTAAGCTACTATAGGCTGCCGACTTTAGGCTGTTAGATTGCCAACTTCAGGTTGCAAAGCTGACATTGATAGGCTGTTAAGATTGTTAGGCGGCCTCCTCATGATACTAGGCTGCCAACGTTATGCTTCCAGGGCGTTAGGCAAACTCCTAAGGCCCTGGTCGTCAGCTATTTAGGCTTCCTCTTCCGACTGCGAGACAATTTGCCTCCTCAGTCAACAAGGCCATCAAACTGCCACCTCAGGCAGCCAGACCGTTAGGCTGTCTCTTCTGCCAATTTTACAGACATGATTATACAAAACTATTTACAGAACAATGCCAATTTTGCAGTTTCATACAAAAAGTATACAATTGTATAATTATCAATATTTACTTGCATAAGTTCAGCTAAAATCCAACGCAAAACAATATACATTATTAACAAGATGAGTATTATCGTCGCCAAAATTGAAACGCAGTTCCATATATAATAAATTCACTCGCTTTCAAACAGACAAAATTCGTCTTGAGTAGGCAGATTTAATTAATTTGATACAACAATAAAACTTGAGTTCAATCTTGCGACATTTAACGGTAGTGTTGCGACATTTAACGGTAAGGGAAATTCGTGCGACATTTAACGTTAACATTGCGACATTTAACGGCAAATGATTTTGCGATATTTAGCGGCGGTTGCGACATTTAGCGGCAATGGTGCGACATTTAGCGGTAAGTGCGACATTTAGCGGCGTTGCGACATTTAACGGCGCCACAAACACTACTACGCTTTGACATTGTGGCAAGTGATATTTTACTCGCCAAGTCGCTTTATTCTATGAAAGATTCTCAGTAAATACCATATAATAAGAATACAAATAATGGGTTAAGCTCATATTGGCCTTGCTATTTGGCTGAAGACAGCTAGCCGTATTGGCCAGAGAATTTAGGCTTTTTATATCATTGCTTTGCTGTAATGAAAATCTTAATCTGTAAGCTTCATTTTAAATATTTCAATGAAATTAAATCTGACATCTATCGAAAAACAGAAGACATGAATAATACATATGTAACTAAGATATTAGTTAGATATCTGTAACCACTTTTATGGTCGTATTTTTATTCACGAGTTTGATTTGAACTTTTTTTCTTATCATGTCCGAATGCGCATGTCGAGTACGTCATAGTGAAGTTCAAATGACCATAAATACAAAACATACGCACAATAGAGTATCTATTTTAAGATAATTTTAAGAACTTTATCTTTCAAAACAAAAACATAAGACAGATGTGTAAAGAAAACATCTTTTTAATTTATTGC